ATGAACCAAGAAGTGACTTGCTAGGAAGAGGAGGAGAGAGAATGTGGAGCTCATGTGAAACCTGTGTGAAACAAGTGCCCCACCTGGAACTCCCCCCCCCCCCCCCCCCCCCACCACCACCACCACCACCACACACACACACACACACATTTTAAAAGACCTGGACACGCCTCTGAACCCTGAACGCAGGAGGCCAAAACGTAGTAAATCTGCTTTAAATCCGCCTCTGAGGTGGGCGTGGCTCCTCGAGAAGCATAACGGCGTCGCTACAGAAGGTGTGTCATCTCTGCGCAGGTCCACATTTCTCCGATTAGAAAAAACAACAACAAAAGGAGGACCGACCTCCGTGCCCTTAACGTCGTCGCCCAGGCAGCAGCCACCCTCCGCTCTGTCATTTTATCTGCAGGGGTTTTCAGCGTCACGTTCCCTGGCTGCAGGAATGTAGCGACGGGGCGCTTTAAAAAATAGCATCCGCTCCTGTGACAGCGCTGCTCCGGAGGCTCCGCGGCACTCTGCTGGGAGAAGCAGGAATGCGAAGATGGCTGCAGACCTGGGAGAGCTGCTGGTCCCTTACATGCCCACCATCAGAGTCCCTAAAATCGGAGACAGGGTTTTCAAGAGCGAGTGTGCCTTTTCCTTCGACTCTCCCGTAAGTGGGTTCCTTTCTCTCTCTCTCTCTCTCTCTCTCTCTCTCTCTCTCTCTCTCTCTCTCTCTCTCTCTCTCCTCTCTCTCTCTCTCTCTCTCTCTCTCTCTCTCTCTCTCTCTCTCTCTCTCTCTCCTCTCCTCTCTCTCTCTCTCTCTCTCTCTCTCTCTCTCTCTCTCTCTCTCTCTCTCTCTCTCTCACACACACTCACTCACTCACTCACTCACTCACTCACTCACTCACTCACTCACTCACTCACACACACCCACACACACCCACACACACCGAGACTTGCTTGGGAGGCTTGTTTGGGGAGCAAATGTGTGCCTCAGGTAGAATGACTTACAGCCTGCTGTGGGGAGCCAGGAAAACACACGCTGTCGAGTGTGTGTGTGTGTGTGTTTGTGTGTGTGTGTGTGTTTGTGTGTGTGTGGCCACATGTCATGTGAACTTGACAGTAAATGTCTATATAACAGTTAAACGGGTTAATGGGGTTTTCCTTTGTGCCCCCCCCCCCCCCACACACACACACACACACACTTACGAACCTGTATTTATATGTTTGTGTGTACCTCCATTGACTTCCATTCATTTAGTGACTCCACTATGCCTAACCCTAACCAATGGGTGGTTTTTTGTAACCCTAAACTAAAAGTTAACTCACCATACCTCTAAAACTTGGTGCTGCATTGTGTGGATTAACGAAATGTCCCCACAACGTGAAAACGTCCACAAGTTATAGGTTTAAAGTCAACATTTGTCCACTTGACCATACGAGGACAAGTACACACACACACACACACACACACACACACACACACACACACACACACACACACACACACACACACACACACACACACACACATTATTTTAAGATAATGTAATAACGCCACTGCAGCAATGACGTCACCAGGCTGTGTTCATTTGCAGAATAAAGTGTTTATTTAGGCATTTCTAGACTAATCTGGTTGTTCAGGCTCCCTTGTGTTAGTGTCAGTGCTTAATGGCCTCATGTGTGGACGATGGCAGCTTATTCCCAAAAATCACCCCAGGGGCTGTAATTATGTTATCAGTTCGATTTTATTCCTGACCAAATTTTGCATATTTTGGCACCCAATCCTTTTTTGGAACGATGGCAGCAGAGAAGTTAGGTGTCCGTGTGGTGTCATAACTGGAAGGTTGTGGGATCGTGTCTCACTCACTCTGTCACATTCGTGTCTTTGGGCAAGACACTTACCGTACCAGCTGGTGGTGGTCAGAGGGACCGGTGGCACCTGTGTTCAGCAGCCTCGCTTCCATCAGTGCGCCTCAGGGCAGCTGTGGCTAAACTGTAGCTCGTCATCACCAGCGTGTGAGTGTGTGTGTGTGTGTGTGTGTGGCCGATTTTGTTGTGAAGCACCTTGGGGGGGGGGGGGGGGGGGGGGGGGGGTTGTATATCAAATACAGACCATTTAACATTTTACCAGTTCCCTTTCTGTAATTAGGAAGGTAGTTACCTAACATTTGAATTAGACTGGAATTGTATGAATGTGCAGCATTGTTCTAGGTTTGTTAGATTTTTTGTGCTTTAAAAGTAACAAATTTTGCTCTCAAAGCTTTCCTCCACTATTATCTGGACTGTAACCGTTTTAAAAGGTGACTCAGCTGTCTGGAGTTCATCATGTTGGCCTGCGGACTGGTTTATTTTTATCCTCCCAGTGTTGAGGCTCATATGTCACTCTGGGCTTAAAGGTTTAACACTGGGGTTGATGACGCCCACTATACTGATTTCAGGTTTAAGGGATGCTTTCCTGTTATTTTGTCCTCATGTGAAACCTGGAGGATGTTTTCCCTTTCCCTCGGAGGCAGAGAAGTTATACGGTGCTCCACAGTAATTCATGAGAGATGTAAACTACTCACAGAGGGATTTTAATTAATAAATGTGTCTTTCTGATCCTCAGTGATCCTAAAATAAAAATGCATAATATGTGGGATGAATTTCTGAAGTTGCTTCTTTGATTACGATCTTCTCTCGTTAAAATTAACAGCTTAAAAACTTCTGAGGTGAAACAGAAGATCAGAGAGAGAGAGAGTAATATATGTTAGCTAAACTTGGTTGTTCTGTAAAAGGAGACACATTTTTTAGATTTCTCAGTAAAAATGATCTTCTGTTGCAGATTAACGTGAACATGCTGGGACATCTTTCCCAAATGACTGAGCTGGAAAGTGTTTTTGCTCAATTTTAAATTCTCATTCAATTGCATTAATGCCGAAAATAATTATTTCTCTTTCTTGTTTTGAACAAATAAAAATAAAAGTGACCTGATATCTTAAATACATCCATCTTTTATAAAGCAGCCTCCTCTACTGATAAGTTCATACACTTTGTACATTTTGTTTTGCTCAGCAAGAAAAAGCTCCCATGTGGAATATATAAAGTTTTTCACATGTGCTTGTAGTTCCTCACCTGACAATGTTTTGCTCTGCAGGAGTCTGAGGGAGGCCTGTATGTGTGTATGAACACATTCCTGGGCTTTGGACGGGAACACGTGGAGAGACATTATCGCAAAACAGGACAGAGTGTTTACATGCACCTCAAACGACATGTCAAAGAGGTACGTTTTGCATTGAGCCTTGAGATTTTCTTTACTGTTTACCGTACTTTTGTTAAAGACCACGTTCACTGAGAAACCGCTTTTTACTTGTTCTATTTGAAATATAATCAGTGACTCTGAGTTTCACGTGCTGGCTAAATTTTAAAATAGTCTTCTAAAAGCCACTCAGATCTACGTCACACTGATAATTAACGTTCATGGGCTCATCCATCTTGGCTAATGACGAGGAAGGCTTTTGTGGATTTAGCATCCAGGAGAGAGCAGAGCATGTGTTGGCTAGGAGAAGCTAATGGTTAGCATTAGCAACTCCACAACGTGGCAGATCCCATTCAGGCTTGTGGTATTTGTGGAGATAAAACTTCAAAGTTGCAAAGCAGAGTCAGTGATAGAGTCACATTGCTGTTGGCCAATCAGAGGTGAGATGTCCGAATATCAAGAAATAAGAGTCCAATTCCTGCCGCGTTTTGCAACCTTCCTTCCAACTAATTTCTGGTTCCTGAAACAGGAGCGCCTGAGCATTTTCCCCCACAGAGATCGACTCACAGGGCGCTCATTTATACTAAAGACCACTGCATGAAATAAAAAAAGGAGTTAACTTGATCTTAAAACGTTGAAGCCATTATTAGAGGTTTTTGTGACAAAAATGTCAATACAGTCTATTCAAGACAAAAACACAGTGGCTCCTCGTTTATCGTGGGAGTTACGTTCTAAAAATAACCCACAAAATCTGCAAAGTAGTCGGCTTCAACCCCCCCCCCCCCCCACACACACACACACACACACACACACTTTTTCCAAAGTCGATTTCTGTCCCCTGCACTTTTTTCCATCCCAAAAGAATATTACGCTATATTAAATAGACACTGGACCAAGCAGAAAACAACTACTTTTGTTGATGCCTGTTTCTCATTAGAACCGTCCATAAGCTCATCCATTGGCTCTGCTGATACTTGCTAACGTGTAATTGGCCGTTCCTGTCACCTGTGTACTTGATGGTTCTGCATTCCTGACATTGCATAAAAGAGCCTCTAGGCAGTAGTTTAATACATATTTTTTGTATACTTACTGTAAAGTCGATGGAGATTGTGGAGTTAACTGTTTTAACTGTTGTTAACTGTTAACTGTTTTAGTTAAATCGTGCCTTTCTTCTCTGCTCCCTTTTATAACAGCCATTATTCATTCCTCACTATCCTCTGGTACGGTCCCATCCCTATTCAAATCCGCTTCAGTCAGCCCTATTCTAAAAAAACCTGGTTTAGATCCCAATGATTTCAATAACCTCCGTCCCATTTCCCATCTTCCCTTCATTTCCAAAGTCCTTGAGAAAACTGTTGCATCTCAGCTCCATTCACATCTCACCCGCAATAACCTTTGTGAACAGTTTCAGTCTGGCTTCCGTCCCCACCACAGCACAGAAACAGCTCTCATCAAGATCACTAACGACCTACTCATTGCTGCTGATTCTGGTTTAATCTCTATTCTTATTCTCCTCGATCTGAGTGCGGCCTTTGACACCATTTCTCATCCCATCCTCCTTAATAGACTCTCTTCCTTAGGCATCACTCACACCCCCTCCGCTGGTTTCAATCTTACCTTACTGGCCGCACTCAGTTCATCCAGTTAAAATCCTTTACCTCAGAACCCTCCCCAGTCAAGTCAGGTGTGCCCCAGGGCTCTGTCCTGGGGCCCCTTCTCTTCATAGTATATCTCCTCCCTATCGGCAAAATCTTCCGCAAATTCAATATCCAGTTTCACTGCTTTGCAGATGACATCCAGCTCTACATTTCCAGTAAGCCCAACACAACTCTCCCACCATCCTCCCTTACACTCTGCCTCTCTGAAATCAAATCATGGTTCACCTCTAATTTCCTCAAACTCAACGGCAATAAAACTGAACTTCTTCTAGTTGGCACTAACTCCACCCTCTCAACATCTGACAGCTTTTCTTTAACTATTGACAGCGCCATAGTCTCCCCCTCACCTCACGTCAAGAGTCTGGGTGTCATTCTCGACAGCTCACTTTCTTTTCAGGCTCACATTAACAACTTAATTTGGTCAGCATACTTCCATCTACGTTCCATAAACCGTCTCTGTCCCTCACTGACCCCTCACACTGCCGCCATTCTCGTCCACAGCCTCGTCACTTCCCGTATCGACTATTGCAATTCACTTCTTTATGGTCTCCCCAACAAACTCCTTCATAAACTGCAACTGGTCCAGAATTCAGCAGCCCGTATTATCACCAGAACCCCTTCCTTTCACCACATCACGCCGGTTCTCCAGCAGCTTCACTGGCTCCCAGTTAAATTCAGGTCCATCTTCAAAATTCTCCTTCATACCTTCAAAGCAATCCACAACCTCTCTCCTCCATATATCTCAGACCTTATAAGTATTCACACCCCGTCCCGTTCACTCAGATCTTCTTCTTCCATCCATCTTGCAGTTCCTTCTGCCCGTCTCGCTACCATGGGGAGCAGAGCTTTCAGCCGCTCTGCTCCTCGACTCTGGAACTCACTTCCCCCAGACATCAGGAACGTCGACAGTTTTACCCTTTTCAAAACAAAACTCAAAACACATATGTTTAAATCTGCCTACAACCTCTGATTTTATTGAACTGTTTCTCTCTTTGTTTTTTCTTCTTTGGGTTTTATTATTGTTTTATTGTATTTCATTACGTGTTTTGTGTAAAGTGACCTTGGGTGTCCTGAAAGGCGCTTTTAAATTAAATGTATTATTATTATTATTATTATTAAAGACTCCCCGGGTCCCCATGCTGATTGTGCCCCCTTACTTCAAAGTCACAACTACGTCCATGCATGCAGTTGTCTTTCTCCTTGCTTGTTATTGTGTGAACTTCTGAAATCATGCTTGGTCTTGTAATTTAGTGACTTTGTGGGACCAGCGGTGTGGCATGGCTATCGCATCTGGTGGAAAGGGGGGGGTTAGACTTTTTGATTTTGTAGTGGTTTATCATTGAACTTTATAAGGTTGATTGTTTACTTTGGTTTTGGGATGTTTAGAACACTAACAGGGCATTCTGGAGGAAAAACAACAAAGTCCTTAGTAGTTAATGTGTTTTCCTACTGGCTTTAATTGCCATCAGATTGCCTCTGCTTTCAAAGGAGCTGCTATTTCAATGCCCTGATCTGGTCAGAAACAGCTGCTCACATTCTGCAGGCTCGTGTGTCTGCAGTTATTTTTTTTCCTACAAGTCCACTTGGTCTCAGATGTGTCAGCATTCCTGCTTTTTCCATTTCCGTCAGTGTTGAATGTGGAGTCACCCTGATCAAACTAAATCCAAACCAGTTGGTGGCGCTGTGAAATCTGCCATTTTTATTTCTTTTTATAATGCACCTTCACAGTCTTTGTGGATTTTGTCCATTTATCAAATAGAAATGTGTGTCTGGGATGGGTTATTTGTGTCATTTGTAATTTAAAGACTGCAGATGATAAGTCCAAACATTATGTTAAAAGCAGAAATCTAAATAGGAGAAGATGTTCATCTGATGCAGTTTGGTTAATCAGCCTTTAACTTAGATCCTGATGCTGTTGGAGGTGGTTTCCATGTTCTGTAACCTGACCTGGAAACTGGTGCATCCATTTCTAAGAAAACCTTCTTGATCACACACAGCAGAGCATCTGTTTTTTCTTCTTCAGTTTATTAAAGAAAATACAAAAACAACCTTTCGAAGTGCAAATTCCAGCTTTTATGTTGGTCTTTTTTTCTTGCAGAAAGCCACAGGAGCTGCAGGAGGAGCCATACCCAGAAGAAGAAATGGAAAAGTGTTCCTAGGTAAGGTGAAAGGAATTTTTTTGAGTATTCACATCCTTCATTAAATAATAAAATGAGGGTTTTCTTTTAAAGTTTTGGTTTTCCAGCTTGAAGAATGAACTAATCTTGAAATTAAAGTCAAAATAGCATTTTAATGATAAAGCTAAAATACTTGTGTAAATGATTAGTTTAGGTGTGGAGGCCAGGGGAGGGACTCATGGGAAATATAAATTATGAAAGGGTAAATGGTCTGTATTTGTTTAGCATCTTCTTAGGGTGCTACAACCCCCCAAGGTGATTCACAAGTGTTAGGGTTCCTAGACACCAGTAGGCAAGGTGGGATAAGTGTCAGCAGCATTCTCTGTCAGGAGCCGGGATCGAACCAGTAACCTTCCGATTACTGGACAAGCCGCTCGACCTCCTGAGCTACTGCTGTACCTAGACCCAAAGTCACGCTCATCTACTTCCGGACCATGGGTCTCTGGAAGAACGAGAAAATGAATGCAAGTCAACCGGGCTAAAAACGCTATTTTCTAATACCGTTTGATTTGTTCCATGGATTTCACATATAATGTCTGTTAATTTTGAAGACGCATTCTGATGCTAAGAAAGCGCAAATTTTTGAATGGGGGCAAACATTATTTTAGGTTTTGTGCGTAAATATATCCAGAACTACAAATGTGCATAGCCAAAGTGATGTCATCGAACCAGAAGTGGAGAGAAGTACAGAGGGAAAATGGCTGTAATTTCAGGGAGGAAAGATCCTTAAATCTGGCAATGTGGTAAATAGCAGCTAGGCTAGGGCAGAGGAGATTCTGTGGTGACGTACCGACGTCTGATTTGTAGTCGTGCTAATTATGAACTTTTACAAGCTGATAAATCTCAAAGTACGTGACTGGTGTGGTCGAAACACCCATTAATTTTCGTTAAAATTGCAGTACAACATATGTCTGATCCAGGGCGAAAGGCAAAGCAAATTAGAAAATAGCTCTGTTAGCCCCGTTGACTTGTATTCATTTTTTTTTTGTTTTTCTGGGGACTCATGAGCCGACTGGAAAGGGAGGAGACTTAGGCTCCATATGTCATAACAGTGTCAGATAGTTAAATGAAACATTTAAAACATTTTCATTTAAAAATTTTAAACTGCATACCCAGCTTCAATTATGTCTCAGTTTATTAACACCAACCATTCCCAAAGTTTTCTCACCCGTTTAATCCTTCCAGACTCACAGAAACTAACATAAGAAGGTTGCCAACAAAGACTGTGGTTATTTAGACAAAGTTTGTCTTGCACATTTTCCGAAAACTTTCCAATTCCCCGTGAGATGACAGCAAGGGCCAACGTTTAGAGCAGGAGTGTCAAACTCATTTTAGCTCAGGGGCCACATTGAGGGAAATCTAGTCTCAAGTGGGCCGGACCGGTAAAAAAAAAAAAAACTTCAGATTGTTTTCTTTGTTTTAATACAATCAATATAAAACAAAGCTGGAGCCTGAGGACAGTATAGTACAAGTACAACACCTGAAGTGTACTTGAAAATTTGAAAAAAATAAAAAAAATCAATACATAATAAAAACATTCCTTAGTGATTCAAAGAGCTTACAGATCACATGGCAAGATCAGTTTTATGCAGCACTTAAAGTCTGTTTGACTCATTTTACTTAACATCTTTTAGCTTTCACCAGCACATCAATATCAGAAGTCACATCCTGATGGCAGCCAACTTCAGGATGTGATTCAAGTTCTTGTGTGAGCCTTGAGCGCAGCTTTGTCTTATTTATACTCATTACAGAGAAAACTTGCTCACAAAGATAAGTTTATTTTCACTCTACATTGTAAAGTACGAAAATAAAGTTTTCACAACCATCTCGTGGGCCGGATTTAACCCGCTTGCGGGCCGCATCCGGCCCGCGGGCTGCATTTTTGACACCCCTGGTTTAGAGGCATTGTTAAAACTTCCTCAAAAAAGGCATTTGCAATTTTACAACAGTCCTGGCCAAGTGAAAGACTGGATTTATGATGATGGATTTCAAACCCGTTGCTTTAAAGAGCTTGCAGTGAAAACACACCAGAACAGAAAAGAAAAATCCCCCGGGTGAGAAGATTATGGATAAGAGGGAAAATATTTTAAAGCCATAAACAAGTTAGGTTCAGATCTATTTAGGCTTTTAGGAAAACAACAAACTGGATGAAGGAGGATTTTAAAACAATATCCCTCTAAATTATACCAAACAATAAAGTGTGAATCCTCCAATAACTCCTAAAACTTATTAAGTTCGCCCAGCAGTTGGGAACACGAAACCATTCTCTGCTAAACCAACTCTTGCGTTGATGGGATTTTCTTCCATAGCTGGAAACAAGATAAAGCTGATTGGAAACGGTTAATCTCTTATAGTTTCTGATCATTAGAGATACTATTTTCTGCTAATAGAGGTCCATCATTTAGAGCTGTTGTTTGTTGTCTGCCAGCTGCCCCTTTAGCCGTCCTCTAAGATATTTCCAGTGATGAGCGCTCTCCTCCAGCTCCTGTTATCTAAACATAGCCCATTTATTTGTAAATTTGGTTGGTAACCATTCTAAATCAAAATCTGGCCTACTCTGTCCTCCTCCTTGGGGTGTGGACGGGGTGGCTGGTTCACAGTAGGCCTCCACCCATCTGTCGCTGTTGGCCTCTCAGCTGCCACCACCTGTCAGCGTACTGTCGAGGCTCACACACTTCCATCGAGGTGATGACGCAGCTCACTGAGACCGAGGTGTCCCTCTGTCTCTGTCTAACCCTCCTTCCTTCCACTTTCTATCTCAGAAAGCTCGATATTTTGGTTTATTTTACACGCCTTTCCCTTTATTCTAACTGCTACATCTCTCTGGTCAAAGTCTGACTGAAACTTTATTCTTAAATTCTTCGCTAGGATGATTCATGCTGTTGTCCGTTTTAAGGTTTTCCGTCAGACGTCATACCTGGACCCGTTATGTGATCTAACCAGACCACCGGCTGATGCATTACAATAAAAACAGTAGCTGGCAGAATGAGGCCAGAGATCATTTAGGATCCTGGTTCTCACGAGTCATTAGTCTAACCGATGTAGTTCATGTATGTCCTTCTATGTTCAAGTTGACATCACTTTGGTCAAAATATATTGTAGATAAATTACTACGTTGGTTTCAGATGTAAGAAAAATATTTTCTGCCTTATCACTGTAAAGTAAATGGTAAATGGCTCGTATTTGTATAGCGCCTTCTGAGGGTTCTACAACCCCCCCAAGGTGCTTCACAATTCAGTCATTCACCCATTCACACACACTCATTCCCACACCTTGTGATGATGAGCTTCGATGTAGCCACAGCTGATAGTGATAAGAGAGAGGTCAATGTGTGCCTCTTTATTATTGAGAAAAAAAGAAAATGTTCTTTATTGTTCCCACATAGCTATTTTTATTTTTTTCTTTGGAAGACTGTAAAATAAAATTAAGATGAAAAATAAAACCTTCAGTTTATTCATTTAAAATAAATATATTTAAATAATAAAATTAAAATCTCTAAATTATTCTGGAGACTATTGAAAATAGATATATTATTATTTTTAACTATCACCATTAAAGTCAATCCTTACTGTTAGCTATATACTTTTTTATTTACCAGTTTTATTTTAAACTTTAACCCTTTGACGCATGAATTATGAAATCTTCAACCATGATTTTTTTGACAATTTTTTTCATTCATCTTTAGGTGTGAATGAAACAATTTTCAACAAATATTTTTTGTAAAATTTTATAATTTACAAATAATTTATTACATGTCCACCTCAGTGGGCAGCGTGCATTCTGAGCATGAAATATGTTGGCTTGACATGCTGAAATCCAAATGGAGGGGCTCAAATGCAATAAAGTCTTCAACTGCTGTGCTTAATAGCAAAAACAAATAAATAACTATTTTGAGTACCTGTCCACTGTAGTGACCATTATGCATCAAAGGGTTAAATCAATATTTACAATACATAACATTTTTTATAACATCTTCAAACTTTTTTTCAATTCAGATTGATCGTTTGGGTTATTTTGGATATCCTAGATGCATAATGAATAAACGGGAAAATTATAAATAGTGAAGAACAAACCTAAACTCATTGTTTCACTTGTTTTCTTACTGTAGTTGACTAACTGTTTGCTTCTTTTCTTAAAGATTTAGAGCTAAACCGTGATTTTAACGGAGAAGACTATGAATATGAAGATGAGGCCAAGCTGGTCATTTTCCCAGACCACTTTGAGATCCCGTTACCAAATATCGAGGAGTTGCCAGCTCTGGTCAGTGAATTTGAGCTGTGGTGTGTTTTTGTGCATGCGGATGGGAGAAGTTGCACTTGGTGGTTCCCCTTTAAGGACGAGTGAGTCTACTCCGTTAAAGAGATGATTCAGTTTAACTTCTGATCTCAGTTTGGAGAATCAACCAGGATTTCTTACAGGAGATTAAAGCAGCTACAGCTAAATGAAAGTAGAGTGGATTTCTGGCATTTAAAGAAATTCAGACCTTAAAGAATTATAGTGGTTTACATCGGAGCAGCATTATAGCTACACCTTTTGTCATAATTTTATCAGTAGAACAAATCTGTGTTTAAAATGCACCATTGTTTTGCACAAATATGTCCTTTTGTTCATCAGCTGTGACTTAGAATTATTTTTGGTCCAATTCTAAAATGCCCACAACAAAACAGCTGCTAACAATTGAGTTGAACTCATTTGGAAATTTAATTTAAAGGTGCAGTGTGTAAGATTGACATCCTGTGGTCAAACATGGTTATTGCAGTCCGTCTTTTAAATAAAAAATATTACTCTCGTTCTCTGAGTTTCATGGCTGATGTCAGTTACAGATCAGCACCAGAAGGTTCTAGATGACACATAAAGAGGAGTCATACACAGCAAGTTAAGAAGTAGATAAAAAAGCTCTGACATGACCTGTGGTGCGATCTACTGTAGCATGATGCATTGGATAAAAAAAATCAAAAGTTTGATTAATTTTTGCTAATTGTTAGCTTGATTTCCCTAGAAAATGTCCTTCTTTTTTTCTTCAAATGCTTCGATCTACTTCAGGAAGGACACTGATAACTTCACTGTACTCAACACAACTTGACCCATCTCCTATAAAAAGATATCAGCAACACATTTAATATTTATCTGACTTATTGGTCCATGTTTAGTTTTAATGGCAACAAACAACATTTTGGGGAACCACACGGTGCATTCATTATGTGTATTTAGCACGTCTGAAGACTTCTTCCCTTCATTTCTTGCATCCAGAGGAACTCTTGACTACTCTAATTACATGTTTGTGCTTGAAGCTTGGCTTTGGCATGGCTGTATTTGTCTGTATATCAATGTTTTTGAAGGAAGATTTTGTTGCTGTTGAGTTGTCGGTGCAGAGGGACTAACACACTGATTCACAATCACAACAATATCCACAACTATAGTTTGAGAAAATCTAAGACAAGTTGGGAAATCTGAGGAAACATTTCTTTCGCCCTAGCATAACATTTCACAACTCCCCATTTTTGTTATTTATTTGACTTTTAATCAATACACCATCATAGGGCTGGGAAATATATCGAACACGTATCGTTATAAAAATTTCTGATTCTTATCGAGATAATTTTTCACATGTCAATAAATTTGATAGTAAAAAATGAAAAGATGTGTGTAGTTGGCAACATTCATGTCCATTTAAGAAGCTGTACCACCTTGTGTTACGTAAAATTGTGACTAAACGTAATACATGTGACAGCCCCATCTAGTGGACAACCTTTGTTTCTGCACATATCTGTAGTTATCGTCCATTTATCGTTATCGAGGTGAAGTCCTTAATATATCGTGATATTGATTTTGAGCCATATCGCCCAGCCCTACACTATCATTTATGTTGTGCACATTTTAATTTGAGTTTGGTGTTGAGGTCAGTGATGTGCCAAATTTTAGAAATAAGTCATATTTGATAGATTTTATTCCCTTTGCGGTTTGGTCTGTATGGGGTTTGGTCTGTATGCTAACTAAAAAGTTCTGCGTGTGTGTGTGTGTGTGTGTGTGTGTGTGTGTGTGTGTGTGTGTGTGTGCGTGCGCGTCCATGATGATGATGCAGAATTTGCTGAAAACATTAGAAATGGTCTTGTTATGATCAAATATGTCAAAATTATGAGTGCAGACTTTTACATGTGGTACATTTGATTGTTTTGTTGTTCATTTCAGGAATTTCGAGCTCTATTTCTGATTAGCAACAACAAGAATTCCTCCGTCTATTAAATCTGCTTCTAGGTGTTTTGCATGGATCATTTTTCCTTTTTGTGTGCATTAAAGTTTTATATTTATCCTTTTAAAACAACAATGCATCAGTCACATAATGCAAAACTGCTGCATCTTTTCTTTCACAAATTCTTGCTTGGCAACTTATTTTCCTCTTATATGATTTAATTTTCATCTATTAAACTGAAACTTTCAGACAGTTATTGAAATATATCTCCAGTCCCTGAATTCACATCAACCAACTGCATTCACGTGGCCCCTGTGTTTAACGTCCAGGTGACCATAGCATGTGATGCAGTACTTAATGCACCGTCAGCTTACAAGAAACAGGAGCCTGAGTCCTGGGAGGAGGAGATCCAGGTCTCCAGACACGCCAGAAGCCTCAGACAGCTGGATAATGGAGTCCGGATTCCACCCAGGTATGTTTACAGACCTCCTGACTGGTGATTGAATCTGAAACTCTGATTGTCTGCTGCGTTTGAGATGTGTAACTTCACAGACCTGAAGTGCTGCAGCACGTGTTTATTGATCAATGGATGATTTGATACAAAAACTCAAAACAACAATGCAAAAATGTTTCTTTGCTGTCAGTGGCTGGAAGTGCCAGAAATGCGAGATGAGGGAAAACCTGTGGCTGAACCTGACAGACGGATCAGTTCTCTGTGGGAAGTGGTTCTTCGATGGGAGCGGAGGAAACGGCCACGCTTTGGAGCACTACAGAGAGACCAACCACCCCCTGGCTGTGAAACTGGACACCATCACCCCAGACGGAGCAGGTCTGAGCCACCTGAGCTGCTGCATAAATCTCATTCATGCTCCCATGTTTGTCATAAACATCAACAATACAATAAACCTTTAGCAAAGTAGGCGATGCCCGAATACATTTTCTCTTTCAAACCGTTGTTTCTGGAAGTCCTCTGGACTTTAGACATTTGATTTTGACTATTTGTTATGCTGAAATCTAGACAACACACAGACTAAGTTGCTTTCTGATTTTTAGATGTCTATTCATTTGAGGAGGAGGAAGCCGTGTTGGACCCCCACATATCAGAACACCTGTCACACTTTGGTATCGACATGCTACAGATGCAGAAGAGAGTGAGTTTACTAATTTTGCAACTTCCTTTTGCATCATCACCACCTGAAACAAACACACAGCATTTAAGCTATGAGCACAAGAAAAAGGTTTCTTTACAAAGAAAATCTGTCATTCTTCAATTTCAGACAGAAAACGGGCACCACACGGATAACAATTCCCGGTCGCGGGTCAGCGAGTGGGAGGTGATCCAGGAGTCGGGTATGAAGCTGAAGATGGTTTATGGTTCTGGTTACACAGGCATCAAGAACCTGGGCAACAGCTGCTACCTGGGAACCGTATTACAAGTCCTCTTCAGCATCCCAGACTTCCAGAGAATGTGAGTCTGGAGGCAGGCGTTGCAGATTTGCAACGTTAAAACCTACCTACCTGGTTACTCCACATACGTATTTCATGAGCATTTTTTAACACAGAAGTACCCCTGAAGGACTTAGTTGTTCGTCCTTTTATCAAAACTTATTTGAGCTTGAGAGGGTTAATGTTCTTTGTTTTTATACTTAATAATTAAAATCTGGATTACTTTATAAAACAATTTTTAAAATAGAAATGGTGATCTATGGAAGCCCTGAAAGACAACCAAATATTTATTCTATCTATCTATCTATCTATCTATCTATCTATCTATCTATCTATCTATCTATCTATCTATCTATCTATCTATCTATCTATCTATCTATCTATCTATCTATCTATCTATCTATCTATCTATCTATCTATCTATCTATCTATCTATCTGTCTGTCTGTCTGTCTGTCTGTCTGTCTGTCTGTCTGTCTGTCTGTCTGTCTGTCTGTCTGTCTGTCTGTCTGTCTGTCTGTCTGTCTGTCTGTCTGTCTGTCTGTCTGTCTGTCTGTCTGTCTGTCTGTCTGTCTGTCTGTCTGTCTGTCTGTCTGTCTGTCTGTCTGTCTGTCTATCTCTCTGTGTCTCTGTCTATCTATCTATGCTCAATCTGGGAAGGCCAATGAAAACGTTTTTTTTTTCTCTCATAAATTGTCAATGTTTTATTTATTTTTTATCTTTTGTTAACCCCCTAATGGCAAACAAAAAGTGTGTTTTTTTCCCTGGAAATGTTAAAGTATGTGTTTTTGTAATACCTTTTCTGTCCACTAGTCGCCCACTTCTCCATGATGGACGGCAAAAAGACCGTTTACACCCGTTGTAACTCCAGTGAAGCTATTCAAAACCAGGGGCGTGTCCAGGGAGTGGCCTGGGGTAGCACATGCCACCCTTGGAATCTGATTGGCCACCCCAGGTGCCACCACACTAATTTACCTTTAAATAGGCTTTTCATTGTCCACAAAAGGCTTGGGGGTAAAACAAAAATAAAGCATAACCATTGGTGCCACCCATGCACAAAGTTGTGCCTCACCTGGGCCACCCCATTTTAAAAGATCTGGACACGCCACTGTTCAAAACAAGCCAGTTTGTAGCCTTTTATCGCTTTTATTTAAGTTATTTGACAGTAAAATGGTTTTAGCTTGCTGCATGGTTGGCTGCGCTAACAGACAAGGATGTAAACTCAACTCGTTTTGTTTTTTTAATAACTTTGATGGAGACTGAGGACGGAGATGATATGCAGCAATCAATCAAGTGGATTAGCAGCCCTCAGATTTGCAGCGAACATGTTTTTACCGGGTAAGATTAACATTCATTTATTTCACAAGGAAGAAAGGGACAGGGATAAACGTGATGTGTTTATACTAGTTATTGATAATCCTGATGGATGGGTATTTCACCCTGGAGGATGCGCGCCGGCCACTGTAGTGTAAAGCGAGATAATTAACAATGTTAAAGCTCCTATATATGATTATGTATGTTAAAATTACGTTATTTGTTTATATGAGCGTCACCGTTCAGAGATCTTCTCATTCCGGTGTGAGAGCAGCAGCTGTACCCGGTACCACCACCAACAACAGAAGCTGGTGGGGATCCGGACTTTTTAAAAATCCGCTTTGGTGTAAAGTGAAACACTGGATCCAGAGGGGTGAATGTAGGCAAAGTCAGCAACATGTTTACATTGGTGAACAGCTGCAGAGAGAACGTAAGCTAACGTTGGTAAGCTAGTTAACACACTGCTCTCTATGAGCCCCGCTAGATGCACTACCTCCTCTGATGACTGAACTGCGCACGAACTAGTTGAAGGAATGCTGGAGGAGTTTTGTTTTTGTTTTGATCGCAAAAACAATTTCAGGCTCCACTTTTCCCTTTGTTTAGTACTCGTGTTGCTCACTGTTTACATGCTTTTGCCGTCCAGCATGGTGGAACCACGAGATTAAGTGACGTCAGTGCAAAGGGTCAATAACCTCCAACAGATGGTGTCTTTTCAGGACCTCTTACATTTCAATCAGCCTTTTGTCTTCATGTCCTCTCCTCCTCCTGATGACGTTGTTCTGTTTGATCTTCAGGTATGTTGGTAATCTTCAAAGGATATTTGATTATTCACCCCTTGACCCCACCCAGGACTTTGCCACACAGATGTAAGTGACTCCATGATGCAATGTGAGAGGAGAAGGTGGTGTCTCTGCGGCTGAAGCAGAGAGAAAAACACACTTCAGGGCTGTTAAAACAAAATGATTCTTTATTTTAATGCGGCTTGAATCCTCATGGATCATTTGTAGCTGAAGCAGTGAATATTTTCAGTAAAGGTCTATTTTGGAGCATTCTTGGTGAAATCTGGTGTTTTGTTACATAAGCTTGTGTGTTTCACGTCTGGTGCAGGGAGAGTGCTCGAGGGAAGCAGTGAATATCAGATGTGTGTGTGTGTGTCTGTGTCATAATCGGAAACTTGCAGCCAATTAAACATGTTTATACTCACTGCCAATGGCAATACTTGTCAAACGCAACCCCCCAAACGATCGATTGGGTTTATCATAACGGTTAAACAAGTTTTTGCTTGTAGGCACAAAAACCAAGGTCACACATTTTTTAATTTTCTTGCACATCAACATTTTTTTCCATAACCAGGTACTGAATAAGTAAAAGACTAACATACTTGGATAAAAGGTATTGAAAAGTCCTCGGTGTACAATTAATCTATTTATTTATTAGTGCACTTTTTTTTAAATAATAAAAAGGTTTGCAGACAAATAATTAGACAAAAATTAAACAGAAGATGTTTATATCATATTAAGAAAATAAAACTAATTTCTGTAAAAAGAAAAAAACAAAAATACAAGAAAAGGGAAATACAGTGGCTCAAAAAACAATAAGGGTGTGGAACACTGAAAATACTTTTTGTAATTATTACTTCTGATTATAATCAGTCACTCTGAGATTTTCATGCAGGCTGAACATGGAAAGAGTCTCCTACAACTACCTCCTGCATTCGCTTCCTCGAGGGTCAAAATCCAGCACGTTTTGGTTTTAACCCTGCTCCAACACACCTGATTTCAATCAGCAGGTGATTAGCAGGCTTCTGCAGAGCCTGATGAGCTGCTGCACAGGTGATTCAACCACTCAATCAAGTGTGATGGACCAAAGAAACTATTAAAACGAGCTGGATACGGCCCTCAAGGCCTGCAGTTGAATAGCCCTGAAATAGACGTTGAAACTCTAGGATTAGAAAACCCTGACAGATCTACATTACACTGTCATTTAACATTAATGGACTCACCCATTTTGATCTGCAATGGGGAATGCTGTTGTTTGTTTAGCGTCCAAGAAACAGCAAAGAACGTCTCGATTAGTAGAAGCTAACCGTTAGCATCAGCATCTCCACCACACGGCAGAACTCCTCCAGGCGTTAATTCCTATGAGAGACCACTGTACCTGTATTGATTAAACGAGTGAAGCACAACTTTAAAGAGCCAAGCGTGATCTCTCTTTGCTGTTGACAAACAGTTTCAGCACAAAAAGCTCAAATCTTAGGGTTTTACTTTGGCTTTAGACTTAAAATTTACTGAAATGATTAAGACCTAGTCCACACGGCTAGTGTAAACACAGGTCGCACACGTGATGTCAGCATTTTTTTGTCGCGGAAAGTGACGCTGCGGACCTTAAAACTCCGGTTTTGTCCGTCCACACGCAGACACCCAAAACGGAGAAAACGCAGATCTTCACTTTGGCCGGAGTTTTTAAAAAGATCCGTTTTTGTGTGAAAAAACTCCGTTTTCGTGTGGATGACAGGCCAAAACGTAGAAAAATATCTACGTTTTGGCAGATCCCCGGCTACGTGTGGACAGGGCCTTAGATTGAAGTAAAGATAAAATAAAATCTTGATCAGAATCTCACTAAAGTAATAAGAATTTAGTATCATAGCAAAGCTGCTGCAGAATCACTAACAGTTTAGAGAGAATATTGATAAAACCTAGCAGTTAAATGGTTGGTCACATCTATCTATTCAATTTGGAAGATCATTTATTTTGTTGATTTATCTATACTTTAACTTCATTTGGATACCGGTTCTGGTTTCCAAGGCAACTGCTTAAGACCTAAGCCTCGTTTCTTGATGATGTCTAAAACCAGAAAATGAACTGTAACAAGAGAAGTTAGAGTCTGACGCAGCTTCATGTCTGGGCCTATGTTTTCCCCTGGCAGGGCTAAACTGGGACACGGACTGCTCTCAGGCCAGAACTCCAAACCACCCATGAAATCTGAGCTCATAGAACAGGTGATGAAAGAAGAACACAAGGTGTTAAACGGGGTATGTCCAGCTTTCAACCGGGGTCTATGACCAGGCTCTTATTGAGAATGGGTTGAACTTGTGTTGTGGATGAAGATATGTTTTCAAAATGAATGCTTTTTATTTTGCTTTCAATAAATGTGTCCTTAAGCACTTTTATCAGCTAATTAAGACCTGTAAATAACGCACGGTCCTTGGACAGCTTTAACTCTTTGTGTGCATCTCTCGCTTTTGTCACTATTGCTGTTAAATGTATGGTATGAGTCACAGCTGCTTGTAGTTGGAGCCAATTCCCTGTCCCTGTCGTTCTGTAAGCCTGGTAGGACTTCATTTATGCTGACTGACTCACAGTAGCTGATGGAGCAAAGCTGTGATCCTGAACATCCTCTATTTACCAGTGGACCCATGTTTGGACACGTTTAGTGAGTTAGAAGTAAAAGTTTCAGAATTTGTAGAATGCTTTCTGGATGGATGACATGAAGGGAATTCTATCCTCACGTCCCTGAAGACTGCTCGGCAACTTTTCCAAAGCAAAATGAAGTAAAGGTTGTAATTTTGAGTAAGAAAAAATACAATTGTTGTTTTTAGACTCTTCATCAAACAAAACCCTCAGCCCTCACAACCCCGTGTTTTTGCTGCAATCTCTGACCACCTCTGATAACTTTAACCGATGCTCTGTGGTTTTGTCCCAAACTTCCTTCTGAAAACACAAATTGTCCTTTATTTTTAACCCTGCAGCACCTGCAAAGGGGCATCTCTCCTCGAATGCTGAAGGCCCTGGTTAGCAGGGGACACCCAGAGTTTTCCTCCAACAGGCAACAAGATGCCCACGAGTTCCTGCTGCACCTCATCAACCAGGTGGAGGTGAGTGAAGCTCAGACTCTTGACAACATCAAACAATTGTTCATACACAGATCACTTCTTATTTATTAGAGCTTTAGTATTGCTAATATTTTGACATTTTGCTATGTCTAATTCATTTGAAACTCCTTTAGAATTGTAGTTGTAATACTTGTGCACCAAACCCACCTGCCTAACTCATTGCAGTCGCGACAATATTGAGTCTATATCCCCGGCATGGTGTGTTCCTCAGAACTCCAACACGATGATGCAAGTTTTTAAAAGGTTCTGGCTTTAATTAAACACGAGGCGCTGCCTCCTGGATTGGTTTGTACACATGAAGTTCTTTGAAACGTCTCTCTCCAGCCTGGATGCATTTATAATGTTCACAGCTATCTGTTGCACAGAGCAGCGAGAAAAGTGCTTCCTGTTCTACCTCGACCGCGGCACACACACACCAAGTAGAAACCTAATACTTCCTATTTTTCATATTGTGCACAGTAACACACACCTGAGATATTCTCACAGCTCTAGATGATCTAAACTGTCCCATTATCTGCAGATACACATGCATTTTTAACAACTGTTGTCCTTTTATCGCCCCTAGCAGCTGTCTGCTGATTTAATAGATGACCCGACTAAAACCACCACCGCTGGTCGCCCCTCGAGCTGGGCCTGAGGGAAATTATAACTTGTGTATTTCTGTAGCTTCTCAGAATAGAAGAGCTGCGTTGCAGAAAGGCAGAGGCTGACCAGGTTTTCATACACCCTAAAGCCTCGGTGACCCCCTTCCCTATATATAAGACGTGAAGACACAGAGTGACTCATGACGACGATTAATGTGTCTGTTTTATATAAAGTGTAACTTTCTTGGTATTGAGAGGTGAATTTAACTTTGAAGTGTTATTTCTGCAGAGGAACAGTGCCGGCTCAGAAAACCCCAGCGATGTTTTTCGTTTCCTGGTGGAGGAGCGAGTCCAGTGTTGTCAGACTCGCCGGGTTCGTTACACCCAGAGGGTTGATTACTGCATCCAGCTGCCAGCTCCCATCGAGGCAGCCACCAATAGAGGTACAGGAGTCCAGACGCTGGAGGCTAAGCTGCTGGTGATGAAGCCAGATATGTTTTTCTCCTTTTAGGGCACGACCTAATGTCAGAGGTGGAAAGAGTACTAACATTTCCTATTTAAGTACGAGTACCAATACTTTGATCATTTTTTTTTACTCCAACACAAGTAAAAGTACTTGCCTAAATTTTTACTTAACTAAAAGTAAAAAGTATCGTAAATAAAATGTACTCAAAGTAAAAGTTACTTAGTTACATTTTTGTCAGCATAAGGATGGCTACATCCAAGTAGTGCAAAACGAGAGCTCACAACACGCTCGCGTGCACACACACACACACACACACACACACACACACACACACACACACACACACACACACACACACACACACACACACACACACACACACAGAGGGATTTCAACATGCACATTGATTGGTTGAGGTTTTTCCAGGATTGTACGTTTCAAATGTGATTTAAATTTTTCTTTATTTAGGCTAAAAATGTGATTATTTCAGATGCCATCAGTATGTGAAGCATCTGAGTGTTTTCATGACAAACCTCTAACATGAGACTGTGCTCTAACCTGTCACATTATCTAACAAGCCAAATGAACATCAAACATTTCAAATGAACCTCAACGATGGCCCTGCCCTACTTTACTTCTACATTACAGTTCCTTTATCCGTGTCCATCCTAGTGCTCCGCTCTGACCTTCATGCTTATTTAGAGCAGCTGATTTTTAGAGTTCATCCTTGGTAGTGGGTTCACGCACTCAATTAACCGTTTACCACTGAAATCAGTTTGTTCATTCTAATCTTCCTCAATAATCCTCCAATCATCCAAATGGAATCCTTAAGCGTCCCGTAACATCCATCCTGTCAGAATAGGCCTTGGATGCCCAGGTGTTACTAGAACTAACTGTCTCCTCGCCACACAGCGCGAGTCTCCAAACTGTGAAGGTTGGTCTCCAAACATGAACTTAAAATATTTATTCATGCATGTATCTCTTCTTGTAGCACACTTTTTTAAAACATGATTTAAAAGGCTTGTATCACAATACGTTACACCTCCCAGACCAAACACAATATATGATAAATTATTATCGTAGACGCTATTGAGACATCATTATTTATGAAATAAGTTATTTTTGTGAGCCATTACTTCAACCATGAATTAAGATGCCTGGATTTGATGAAAGCATGCTGTCTCATGCAGTCCTGTATGTGTAACACACACACGCACGCACGCACGCACGCACGCACGCACGCACGCACACACACACACACACACACACACACACACACAGAGGGATGGAGCATAATGTTTACAACTGAATTAGCTCCAGCTCCAGATGTTTTAACTCACTGAGGCCTGCAGGTCTTCTGCATTATGAGCAAAGGGCAGGGATAGAATCCGCTTGTTATGAGTGCCGAACGTTATTTTGCCACTGCCGTGCGGAGCAATTGAGAGGGCACATTTCAAACATGGAACTGAGTCCAGCTAACGAACCGAGCAGAATACTGATGATGTGACATCGGCGCACAAAGGTGTGGGTTTCAACCCACAGGAGAGGGAGGGAGAGAGGAGGTAAACAGCGACTACATCACAGGGGCTGGACTGATGTTTTTAAACAAAACTGAGGGAGAAGTGGCTGTTTAACGTCTTCATTATAAAAGGTGTACACCCACACACCCATGGTTGAGACATGGCGCTCATGCAGGTGTCTCTCATTCTGTTGCTAGCCTATAATTTTTTTTACTCAGTAACAGATATGATTGGAAATGTAGCTGAATGCAATTGTTTTAAAAAAAACATACTCAAGTAAAAGATAAAGTACAGATTTTAAAAACGACTTATAAAGTATATATATATATATATATATATATATATATATATATATATATATATATATACATGTGTGTATGTATGTACCGGTATATGTGTGTGTGTGTGTGTGTGTGTGTGTGTGTGTATATATATATATATATATATATATATATATATATATATATATATATATATATATATATATACACACACACACACACACACACAAAAAGATACTCAATTACAGAAAGTGAGTAAATGTAATTCATTACTTTCCATTTCTGCCTAAATGTATAATATTATATAAGTTATATTTAATGTTGCCATATTTTATTCAACATTTTAGAAGGTTTACTTCTCACACGCATGTTCATCTTTACATATCTAATGAGTTTTGTTTTGCCAGAGGAGCTGCTGACTTGCGAAGCCAAGCGGAAAGAAGCAGAGGAGAACATGAGGGCTCCTCCAGAACCTGTGCGAGCACGCATTCCTTTCACGGCGTGTCTGCAGGCCTTCACGGAGCCGGAAAACGTCCCCGACTTCTGGAGCTCAGCGCTGCAGGCCAAGTCAGCTGGAGTCAAGTAAGCATCAGCGATCGTTAGTTTCTACTCTCCCTACCTTTGTTGCGTTGAGCTTTATTTCTAATCGGCTCTTTCAAAATGATCTCTCCACAGAACCTCTCGATTTGCCTCGTTCCCAGAGTATCTGATTGTGCAGATCAAGAAGTTCACCTTTGGTGTTGACTGGGTTCCGAAGAAGCTGGGTAATTTTTTTGTTTGATACAAGAGTGATTTTAAGTGTCTGTAGCACTGATAACATCCAGCAGAGGGTGCCATCAAACTGCATCACTGGTGGCATAGGAACACTTTCTGCCCAAGAAAATGAGAAAAAGGATCCCCTGCTGTTTAGACACATCTGTCATCCCGTTCATGTCTGTCAACACCGGTGAAGGTTGATGTCGACATAATCCCACCCAAAGAAAGTTTCTGAAAGTTCCCTGCTTCCATAATTTCTAACATCTGGATGTAATGCGGGGAGCAAATTTCACACACACCAGTGTGTGTGACAACTAATGGGACTTTAACTTTACCAGTGAATCTCCAAAATTTAGAATGTGGTGCAAATATGAATTAATTTCAGTAATTCAACTTAAAATGTGAAACTAATAAATGAGATAGACTCATCACATGCAAAGTATGAAATCCCCAAAATTTTAAATCCCAGACAATTAGAATATCGTGAAAAGGTTCAATATTCTAGACTCAAAGTGTCACACTCTAATCAGCAAATGAATCCAGAACACCTGCTAAGGGTTCCTGAGCCTTTAGATGGTCTCTCAGTCTAAGTTGAATTACTGGGATAAATGGACTTTTGCACCATATTAGTATTTTTTGAGCGTCTCCTGTATCTGTGGTGCAGACTTGGCCATCGACGTTCCAGACTTCCTGGATCTAAGTCGGCTCCGAGCCACAGGGCTGCAGTCGGGAGAGGAGGAGTTGCCTGACCTTTTGCCTCCCATCGTGTTGCCTGAGGACACCAGAGGTACGATGCTGACCTCCATCAGGAATAATTTAATATAGGAATGTGTGTGAGAGTGAGCATGTGTCAGATCATGCCCTGTAAGTGATGGAGACCAGTGAAGAATCACATTAGCTGCTACGCAACATTTTAGTATGCTAGTATAGCCAAAAAGAAAACTGATTTAGAAATGTGCTGCTGGTATCAAATCTATCAAAATCAGAATATATATTGTTATATATATATATATTTTTTTAGTGTATCCATAGTGTCGTCTTGGTGTTTTTAAGTATCTAAATATGAAAATATATCTATCTGTGTTCATTTGCATTTTAAACTTTAGTTTTTTTTTCTGAATCCTATTTCGGGAATCTCCCATTAATGTCCAGCTGTGGCTCACAGCAGCACAACAGCTCATGCATGAACTCAGAAGAAAATATAAAATGGCACTTTTAATTACTTGAGGCATTTTAGTCCGCTCATCTTTAATGTCACAGTTCTGTTATCTTTGTTACAGGGCAGCGTTTTCCTTCAGCTCCTGTTCTTTGGTCGTACATACTCTTGATTTTTGTACCAATTATTCATGCTTTTATACTTTATTGTGCTTGGATTGATACAAGCAGATGACCTGTGCGTCTTTTATAATTTCATTTCCTCAAACTCCATCTGTTGGAAACTTCCGCTACACCAGCTTATCCATGTTGTCTTAATATTTTAACAGATGTGGAGCTCAAAGTGTTCTGAGGGAACATCTGAGAGCAGCATTTGCTGCTTCAGACATCAACAAACGAGAGATATTTAAAAAAAAGTGATTTAGGCAGCTGCAGTTATGTGTTAGAGATTCAAAGTACAAGAAGAGAAATTTGGACTTACTTTGTTTGAGTGGGTCTTAATATTTCAGGACAGAGTTGTAGCTGCTGACCTCTCAGACTCACTGAATTATCTTTTGGGTGTCTGGTTTAGAAATTGGAGCCTCTTTAGTTTAGTTTTGTTTTGCAGCTTTCCTGGAGGGCCACTGTAGAAGACAGTCCACGATCATACATTTAGTAAAAGTAGTTTGTATCAGGCTTCCTTTGAGTGGACAAGAAATCAGAGTAAAAAACAAACAGTTTTTCAATATTTTTGTTGATATTTCTTGTGTATTTTGTTTGTTACCAAAGACCCGCCATGCGTTAGCAGGGATGAATCATTGCTTACCAGTCTGTCAGAGGGCATCGGTGCTTCTCATTGGTTACATCGCCAACATACCTATATGTTCGATTATCAATCATCCGTCTGTTTATCTTCTATTTGCTCACACATTCTGGGCTGTTTGAAGAAAAAATGTTTTTTTTTCTTCAGCTTTCTTTACTCCAGAATTAAATCTGAAAAACAAAGTTAAACCAGCTTTATCTATCCTCATTAATTATTGAGTCATAATGTTTTTTTGATAATTTAGTTCAAACCTACAGCCGAGGCAGGACACGCATAATGGACTTGAGTGCTTTTGTTTGTTTTTGTTTTTAATGAATTTGTTGTTCCGTGTGTGTGCGTGTGCGTGCGCGCGTGTGTGTAATTATAAATTACATCTTAACTCAACATAATTGATTTGGTTAAAACAGGAAATCCTTTTTATTTCACCTCTATGGAAATACAGACTATTTTAGATAAAGATGCTGAATGCTAACACATCCAGAATTTTAAAAGACCAGGTCTTAATTAAAAAATGTAGAATTAAACCAAAAAGATTAATCCTCTTATGCATTTTGAATTCAATGAAACACCAGTGTGTTTATCAGCAACCCTTCCGCTGTCCTCCTCATGTCTGATTACAGTTTCACAGCTTTGTGGATTTGAGGCACCGGAAACATCTTTAAATCCCACCTGCATAAAGAAAATCCCCGTCTACTCTCTCCTCCATAAACAAAAAGAAAACACCAGTGATTATAGATCAACTGTGCGACGTCGCCTCTAACCACTTTTCATTTTCTCTTTCAGATAACTCCATGAGCTCAACCGACTGTGAGTATTTCATTGCTGCTCTGCGTCACACTGCCTGAACAAATGTGTTGGATGCATGTAAGTTATAACTTTAGAAAATGTATTCTGGGCTGCAGACAGCAGCGATGGATGCTGGTGAGCCCAACCTCTGACTACCTGAGCAGGTGCGGCAGGTGCTCTCTATTTCCACGAGAACTTAACTTTTGAATGTAGCTCTACCTTTTTTTTTTTTAGCCCGGTTCATTTCTCTGCCTGATAAATTTCACCTCGAGTTAAAAAGAAAAAAAATAAATAAACATCCCTGGGGCTGAATCTTCCCTGGTCTTTGTGTTTAATGAGTCCCAAAGAAAGAGGGTTGCTGGTAGTGCTGAATCAGTGGGTGTATGTTTAGGTGGTGATGCTCATTTGTTGTGTCTGCAGCTCCGGAGATCGATGAGGCGGCGGTTATGCAGCTGGCGGAGATGGGTTTTCCACTGGAGGCCTGCAGGAAGGCTGTGTACTACACAGGAAACATGGGCCCAGAGATGGCCTTCAACTGGATCATAGCTCACATGGAGGAGCCCGGTAAGAGTCACCACACCAATCATGGGAATACGGGCTGAGGCACCTGTGAAGAAGGTGCATGTTGGATTAGATCGGCTCATCTTAGAAAAAAAAACACATAAACATTATGTAAAGTAGAAAGCTGGCCTAGATGATTTGACTGTTGAGATTTTGTTGGGTTTTGTTCACTGCATTGTTTAAAGGTATGTTTGATATAATCAGGCTACTGATATTTTGTGAGTTTTTGAGATAGTTTTATTTGGCACAACTTGTGAATAATGAGGAATTTTCCCTGTGGATAGGATCTGCTGTTCTTAGAGCAGGCAGCTGTGTGTAGCAAGCAGCTAGCAAACCACCAAAACAAGCCCAAGAATCTTCATCCAAGGCTTGCTGTTCTTAAGTGAAGATGTTTATAAATGTTTTATCACCGTAACTACAATATACAGAAAAGGCAAAAATACTTTACTAATACACACATGTTAGCGTCGCGCTTAGCAGCCTTGCTTAGCATGCGTACGCTCATGTTGCTTACATTATATCAACTAAGTAACTTTAACACAGGCGCGAACCTTAACCTAAACAAATCGATACTTTCAAAGACAAATGTTCTCAAAATAAAGGGTGAAATAAAAATATGACAATAGATGCCTTAGTTCTGTGTGAAGTGTTTACAAAATCTGATTGTTGCATAGTTTAGTCTGGTCTGAGGGACTGCAGTCGCTCAGGAGGTAGAGTGGGTTGTCCAGTAATCGGAAGGTTGCAGGTTCGATCGCGGCTCTGACCAGAGAATGCTGCTGTTGTGTCCTTGGGCAAGACATTTAACTCACCTTGCCTGCTGGTGGTGATCGGAGGGACCGGTAGCACCGGTGTTCAGCAGGCCTCACCTCTGTCGGTGCACCCCAGGGCACATCGTAGCTCATCATCACCAGCGTGTGAATGTGTGTGTGAATGGATGAATGAGTGATTGTGTTGTAAAGTGCCTTGGGGGGCTGTGGATCCCTAAGAAGGCGCTATACAGTCTAAAGCAACACTTGCACCAAAACTTGTCAAGTATTATCATTATTATTATTATTGTCTATTTTATAGGTAACATCCAAAAAACATAGTAATAGAAATTAGTGCATAAGTGTATCTGTCTCATTTATCTGTAAACATCTTTTTGTGAATTTTATTATTAATATTACTATTTTTATCATTAAATGCTAAGGGATCATAGTCCATCTGCGGGGAAACTTAGGTGAACTAAAAATACTCCTGAAAGATAACCAGAACAGCTGTAATAAAAATCTTCTCCTCGCTGAAACCTTTTTCCAGAGGATACCAGGAGGTGTGACACACTAATATATAACACGAAGAGGCAGAGCAGGTTTATTTGTTGGGGACCTTTTTGAACTCAAAGGTAATTTAAAGTGAGGTACACATCACATCTATTGTTGTTTATACATATATATATATATATATGTATATATATATATATATATATATAGAATGTTTGTTCTTTTTCCTCTTTGTGGGCTGCAGGTAATTATATCTGTCTGTATATAAGTGACGATCATCACCAGAAACTTTGTGTGAGCTGACTCAGAGACTCGTGGAGCTTCTCAGCAGTGGAGCTGTTCCCCTGAGGTGCTGACTAGCATCTCCTTCACTTCCCTACCTCTCTGTGAGAGCTTGTACAGTGGAGGGGAATTAGAGCAGCCGGTTTGTTTTAAATGGGTCTAATGCATCTGCAGAACGCCTGCATTCAGTCTCATTACGTCCTTTTAAAAACTGTGCTGCTCTACATGTACTTTTCAATCAGCTTCCTTCTTCTTTTTTCTCACCATTTAAAGGTACAGGAAGTAAGAATTTCAAATTAACACAAAACAGTGTAATGTCTTACTCAAATTGAAAGGAAGGTTATATTGAAACAAAATTCCCTCTCAGCCGGCTGGGTGGAGGTCAGCTTCTTTACCTTTGCAAAAGACAAACACGGACAGTCATATATATTTTTTTTTTACAGTCTGTGACCCTGCGGGTTGCCAAGTCTGAGCCGATCTAACCCTGCTGCATGGGCAGATTAATTTGAAATCATCTGGAAAAAAGTTCCAGAGTTTGTCAACCAAAGAGCAGTCCATAAGTTGTTTCTTGTACGCTTAAGAAGCTAGGGCATCCTTTTGATTTACTCAATCGGGTAAAGAAGGCTAGAGGCTAACGTTGAGCTAATAATGTGCTAATAATGGTTGTAGAAGAGGGCAACTCAATTTATGACAATTATTCCAAATAATCCAAACAGATCTGCTGGTGCAAACGAAACATGAGTCAGCCCCTACTTCTGTTATGAAGTAAAAAATGATTTTAAAGATTTTTTTTCAAGGCAATCAAATAAGCCAGGAACATTATTATTTTTATGGTTGTTTAAGATTTAATTAAATCCCGCCACAATAACTTCTTGTGACAGTTTCAAGATCATCTGAGCTTAATCGCAAAAGAAAATTGCAGAATATCATTTTCTGCTTACATAAGTCTGTTCTTCCCCGGAGACAAACATCTGGAGTCCAGGCTACAAAGCAGTTTGCTTTTATACACACAGAAAGGTCAACGAAAGGTTGCACGTATAGTCTTTAGACAAATGCACTATCAACCTAGTTTAAAGAAATAGTTTGCAACTTTTTCATATATTAAATCATTTCTTGAGCCAATATGTGCTAAAATGACCTTTTACAGGTTTAATGAAAGGCCACCCAGCCCCTATCGCTCCCTGTGGCCAGAATATTTCACTTGCAACTTCAGACTGGCGGGCTGCTGTTGGGACTTTGAAAAAATGGAGCTGACATACCTGGTGCTGCACTCTGCTTCCAGCTCGTTTCCTGCATGTATTAGGTCATGAACACAGCTGATTTCTTTAATTTAGTGATGAATCGCTCCTATAGACACTAAGGAAGGCTGGGGAGACATTTCAGCTGTTAGATTAAGGCGTTAAAAAGACAAACGCACAAGGAGGAGATTTTTGTTTCTACAAACAGACATGAGGGGAAGCTAAAAGCAAGCCAAAACTGCCTAGTTCCCCTTTAAATATAAAAGGAAAAAATTTGTTTTATTATTATAATTAGTATATATATATATATATATATATATATATATATATATTTTTTTTTTACGCTCATGCAGTGCTGTTCTGGTTACAAAGACATTTCTGAGAAACCATTTTTGGAAACAGTCTGAAAATTATTCAGTCTATTAATTTTTATAGGTTTACCATCATTTAATTAAACTCTTGCAGGGGAGAGAGGTTGTTTTAAAATGAATGTCTTACAAATAAAATAGATTTTGTTGCATAGATTAAAGTGCAATTCACTTAAATGAAAGCAATTGAAGTTTATGTGGTACACCATGAGGTCTGCCACGTAAGGCTATATATACAATTATTTGGTAAACAGTATGGTGTAGTCTCTACCAGTAGAGCTTAAAATCACCCTTAGAAAAATAATAAGGAGCTAATGTGTCAAAGTACTGTAGTAAAGGCTGTAATAATACAAAGTACTCAAACCCTTCAGTTTGTCTGAAGTGTAGCTTTAATGAATTACAAGCTCTTGTCTCTTTATAAGAGGTGCATTTTAGCGTGGAAATGTCAAAATGTGTTTTTACCAAATGTGGCAAAAGAACCTGAAACAAAATATTTTATCCTTTAGTTTTGGTGTTCACATTCAGTTCAAAGACCGCTGAAGTATTTGCGGTAAGAAGGACACAAAACAAGGAGGCTGCAATGGAAAATAAGTGGTGCTCAACTTCTTTCATGTTAAAGATATAATGGTAATAAGGATTCGTCTCAATTTCATTGGTAGAATATATCCTGCAGGAAGGTCCTTGTCCTTGGGTTGAGGGTCATTATTCTTTCACTTTTATTTTCATTTTTTATGGTAATGTCTAAAGTGGTGTTATTGTAATCATCCTTCTATTGTGCTCTTCCTTTAGAAGTAATTTCTTTAAAGAACTGAACTCATTAATCCACGTGAATGTATAAAAAAACACAACAGCTATGAGCAAAGAAAGTGGTTCTAGTAGTGAACGTTTCAATGAGGACATAGATATATCTCTTATTGTGTAAAAATACCTCCAACAAGAAAAAGAAATCGTTCATTCCCACTGTTTCCAGTGTAAAAACAAATGTTCCTTCGGTGACTTGATTTTTTTGTGTGTTTATGTTTGATTGTTCTCTCTTTAAAAATTTTTTTTTTATAATTTTTAACAGATGTGCTCCGAGCTCTTATCCATATTCAGTGCCCTTTTCACTTGCGGGTGCTGTCAACAGCAAGATGCTTTGAGAATGGTGTCCTAGTAGGAGATAATGCTCAGATGCTCTGAAGGGAATCTTTTCTGGGTTGATGTTACCTCGGTTATGTACATTTAACATTTCTGCGCACCGGCATGAGTTGTAGAAAGATGTTTTTTAGAAGCATGCTTGTGAACAAGAGGAGTTGCTTCCAGCTGTAATCGTGGAAGTAGGGAGTGGGGCTTAAGGTGCAAAATATTTCACTGCCTCTAAATGGTGCCGTTTCAAAATAAAATCTGAATTTCTGCTTTAACAGTAACTAACTTACGGTATTATATCCTTGTAAAAAAACAACCACCAATGTGGTGTTTGTGCCAAAATTAAAAGTTAGAAAATTTAGACCAATAATATTAATTTTTTATTGTTTATATTTTAAAAATCCTTTAAAAAAGTCATTTCTTCTCCACTTCTTCTCAGATTTTGCTGAGCCACTCCCTCTGCCTTCCATGTTGGATCCTGGTCCCTCCACCAGTGAGAGCCCTGTAGGGGTCACTCCGCTGGGAAACTTGCCCCCTGAGGAGAGCATCGCCATCCTCACATCTATGGGTTTCCCTCGTTCTCACAGCATCAACGCACTCAAAGCCACGGTCAGCATTTTCTCATTCGTTTGGTTTTAATCATTTGATCCTGATTATGTCAGATTATAGACTTGTAGTTCTGTGATTTAAAAAGACATTTTCATGCATCCCAATTTACACAAATAAGTATTTTTAACTGCAAACGCATAAGGATCTGAGCTGCCGGTGTGGGAAGAGATGGTTATGATGTCTGACCTGATGAAATGTAGAAGATCTTATTTTTTTAAGGTGGTGCACAAACTTTAGTTGCTCCTCTTAAAGAGAGTGGATAGTTTACTTGGAAAGTAGAGAACGTCAGAGTTGAATCTGAGCAAATGTGAGGACTAAGAACCACCTACACAGTGTGGTGAGTGTCTGAGAGCAAAAACACAACAATAATAAGTGGTTGGCATCACAGGAAGAACACGAAAATGGAGGTTGAAGTTTAAAAAACAATGTCAAAAGCAGAAATGAAGTGGTGTTTGAGAAACAGGGCAAAGAAAAGGGCGGGATGATGGAAGTCAAGCTCTGGCTGGCCTACTTGCTCACTTTCCAAGCTGCAAATGTATTAGGCCCTACATGTCAGCGTGATTAAAGATGTCTGCTCAGCATGGTGTTTACAAATAGTCCCAGCAGCACATGACCTCCTCTGCTTAAAAGTACAGCCTTTCTGTCTGAGTAACAGCACTTGCCTCTGCGACACGTGGGCATTCCTCACAAATTATTATCCAGACATGAAAACACACACTGTGCGGACAATTCCTCTTCTCTTCTTTGATGAGTCAAAGAGAACGCACCTGCTGCAAATGTGTTCGCTCCCCTCTCTGGAAATGGCCCCCGATTCTCATGTTTCATATTTCAATTTGCCCCCTCAGCAAAAAATAGCCCTGCAGACAGTTGGTGGGACACAAAAATAGCCACCGGGCTTTCATCTTTATCAGCAGCAACGCCGCCGAGCTCTCTGCCAGCCACGTTGTTGTTGTTGAAGTGGAATCAAAACAAAGAATGCATCTTCCCCTGAGGGGGAGAGGGAGGGAGGGAGGTGTGACACAGAGAGGGGTCTCACTGTCGGCCCTTATTTAGTATGAGGGACATATTTTTTTTTCTTCCACCTTGCTGACCTCACACAGAGAGAGATAACAAACAGATACCATCACCCAAACATCTCCCCGGGTGCTCCTCAGACTTTCCTCCTCCAGGAGTCGCACCTGTTTTCAGATTAAAAACAAACATCTTTGTAAACCCAGATGGATGCCTCCCCTTCCTCGGGGGTGGGGGGGGTGGGGTGGGGGGGATCACCATCTTTGTCATAAAACTGTATCTTAATATGTTCCAGAGGCGTTTGATTACAACAAAGTAGAGCAGACGTTTTGTTCGGTCATGTTTACCAGTATACATGCACCCAGTCGAGGTGTTTTTAACGAATCAGATACTTAATTACAGCCAAATATATTGGAAATTAATGTTTGAACACATGAAACAATAAACCATTTGAGTCAACACCTGGAAAATTGGTCTGAAGTGTACTTTTATTGTTTATCAAAGGGAAAATGTCCTATTTGTTGACACAGAAGGGGCGGGGCACACAACTTCTACTGGAACCAGCCAAAAGGGGACGCTTGATTTGCATATAAACTTGTGGGTTCCAGTTATGCATTTTATGATTTTATCCTCATTATTTTTTAATTTCCGATTTTTTTTACAAGACAACAGAAAAACAAAAGGCTCAAAAGTACTTCAGAAATTAAGTTCTGATTCCAGTGACTTGTGTAAAACTGAATTCTGAAACTTATCAGAAATGAAAATCAGTGCAGAAACGATCTGTTAGCGTGCTTTTCCCGTTTTCCAGAACAATAATCTTGAACGGGCGCTCGACTGGATCTTTACCCACCCAGAGGAGGAGGAGAGTGACGCCCTCTCAGACATGGCCGACACAGAGCCCAATGGCATCACCTTCTCTAACGCTAACTCGCACAGTGACTCCACGCTGTCTCCAGACCAGGACGTATCAGGCCCTCGAGTCAAAGACGGACCTGGACGTGAGTCGACTTACTTACTTATAATTGAACTTGTTTCAACTTTGCAGGAAGTTTTATTAGGTACATTAAGAATTTTACAGTGAAATAATCACAAAAACAGTCTAATGTCTCATGTTGAATTTCCTTCTCAGCTGGCCTAAGGGCAGTCAGTCTTTGTTTACAATCAGAATCAGATCAGAATCAGATCTACAAGCCTGTGGGTTTACAGAGCCTGCACCAGCCAATGCCTGATTTATGTTTCTCTGTCATCTCCACAAGGGAGAGACAAGTACGCATTTACAGAGACGTTTTCTTCTCTGACTTCTCCGGCACCTGGGGAGTGTTACAAAGCAATTCCCCACCAGGACCACAGAGGGCATAACACTTTTCTGTGGTATCACGCCACCATTACACTCCTGTATCCGGTCCATGATAGTGTATTTACTAATGTGTTTATATATTTCAGACATAACACGGATGAATTTGTCCTTCATCCTCCACCTCTCATGTGGCTGCCATCGCTAACCCATGCTCTAAACCCATGTTTCCTGTCAGTTCCGTCCACGAACAAAATGCTTGCACCATATCTTTGTACTCCTTCCATCACTGGTGAATAAACGTTCCTATTTTTGGACTTTTTCTGCGATGCGTTCTTCAATCTGTTCAGAGTCTGCCGTTAAATATCTTTTTACTTTTTAAGGGGGCAATGGTGGTGCTGTTAACAAATTTACAGGAAGTGGCGTCCTGGCCAATCACAAGCTTGCGGTCTCCGTCACTTTTGATGGATATGTAAAAATTTGGGCATGTCTCTGTCACCCTCTGCGAGCCTGTTGGAGAGCCCTTGCGCCGATGCATAATAACGTTGCGTATCTCTGCGCCGCGCAAACTGAGAAGTATAAATTAGGCTTAATGCTCCAGTCGTGGCATTTGGAATTTGACACCACCCCATAAGTGTTATGCAAAGATCCTAAGCCAGTAACGGAAGTGACACATAAGTTATTTCTTGTACTCCTAAGAAGCCACAGCATCATTTTACTCTAATATCGGGTTAAGCAGACTAGAGGCTAATGTTGAGCTAACAATGCCAACGGCGAATTAGAAATTCCAAAGATATCTCGAGCAACTTTTTCAACTTTTAACATCTGAAAATTAAAGTGAATTGTATTTATCCACTGATCAATTTACTGTGTATGACTCTTCGCTCGTCATCTAGAATCTTCTGGTGTTGAGTCACAGCTGGCAACAGCCGTGAAACTCACAGAACTTCAGGCCAGGAGTTGAGCCTAATCATTTCCATCTACAAATATAACGCTGTCTGTGTATCTTTTTTCTCATCCAGTCACGGATGAAAAAAACATTCATATTTTTAGGTTTTTCGCGAGGTGTTCTTCAAGCTACTCCGTGTCTGCTGCTAGATATCTTCAGCTCTCTTTATGTTTTTGAGGGGGGAATGGCGGTGCTGTTGACGAAAAGCGGCGGCCTGACCAGTCACAAGCTTGCGTTCTGCGTCTCGTTCGACGAATGTTTAGAAAAATGGGCTTGACTCCATTCATCCTTGTGAGCCTGCTGGAGAGCCCTCACATGGATGGATAACATTTCGTGTCTTCGTACTGACGCAGAAGCAGAAACTAGGCTTCACTCTTTTGCTTTGAAATAGACTGCAGTACCCAAATTTGACCACAAGATGTCATTCTCACTTCATTTATACATCATGCAACGTAAAAAAAAAATTAGTTTATAAATAAACTCATGAACTAGAAAAATCTTTGTGTTAGCTTTTTGAAAAAAAATGTATGTCCTCATTTTAATTAAAACTTTTATAAAAAATGTAGACTCAAACAATCATGTAAGTGAAAATAGATGAGTATATAATGAAAAGAACTTTAAGTAGATTTACTGTTTTTATTGTTTTTCCCATCATTCAGAATCTAATTCTGACAATTACCATCTGTTGATTTCAGATGTGTGACGGTGATCTGTTTATTCTGGTTTTGGTCTTCTTCCTGTTTTAGGATACGAACTGTTTGCCTTCATCAGCCACATGGGAGCCTCCACGATGTCCGGACATTATGTTTGTCACATCAAAAAGGAGGGAAGGTGAGCTGCAGCCCGCATCCTTAAATAACATCTCTTCTGGTTTTACTTGTAGAATAAAGTTGACAACATTCATTATTCCTTACCAAACATGCATGTTAATGATCGTGTTTCTTTTCTGCCAATCTTTTCCTGAAATTGTTATTATTTTATTTTGAAAGTATCTAGACTCTGTAAGGTCAAGAGACAACAAAACTCTTAAATGCTCATCTCTGTGCAGGTGGGTGATCTATAATGACCACAAAGTCTGTTTGTCTGAAAGGCCTCCGAAGGATTTGGGCTACATCTACTTTTACCGTCGACTTTCAAGCAGTTAAAGTCACCACCAGCCTTTAAACCACCCTCCAGTCTTTGACCCTTAAGACTGACTGACAACTTTCCCAACAGTGGGAATGATGGAAGAAACTTCACAGACCAGCTGCTTGCCTTATCCAGATCGCCAACAGGAGCAACCAGGAGCTTTTGCCAGAAAGGGAAAGCAATGTGCTTTTTTGTGCATTAGTTTGTGTCGTTATGCTTTAAATGTATATTTCAGTGTTTATTTATGGAAAAGAAAAAATACGCTGATGTTGGTAAAGAGGGATGTGTGCAATCTCCACTTCTAGAATGCTCTCTAAAAAAATGACATATCACATCCGGACGTTCCTCCTCTCCGCCTTCAGCTGCTGTGCCGTACTTTCAAAGTGTTACATTTATAGTGAGACAGCAGTGCATCACTGCCAGCCCAAAATACCCAAGAAACCGCAACAACAGACCAGGAATTCAGTCTGATGCCAGTGGTTTTACACTTTACTTTGAATTATGGTGAAAGTTTTTCATCGTGAAGAGATATTTAGTGCTTAGAAAAATCACCAAAACATTGTGTCAGAATGTAGCAAAACCGACGGATTGTTCCAAAAAATTCAACTGTAAATACACAGTATTTTGGCTCACAACTGCCCCAGTTTTACAATTATAAATAATGTGTGTTTGTCACTTTCATCTATGCATAGGCTTAGTTACCGAGGTAGAGCTATTATTTTTTTCCCCAAAGCACTTTTTGGATATACGTTAACTCGGCTGCACCTGCTGCGGTTTGGTTCCTTTTATCACTTTGACAGATTCAGACTGACCCCGAAAAGGTGAGATAAATGTTTCCCTTGACTTGTTGCCATTTGTCAGGACAGCTGGTTTATTTATTCACTTATTCACAGTTTCCACATCTGGAGCAATATGCTCTACAACCAGATCCGTCCAATGAAAGCTGCACAGCCACTGCCGCCTCTACAGCTGAATGTAAAACTTGGTGCTCGCTGCAAACCGAACCTCCTCTGCAGCTTTAGCCTGTGTCCTCCACAGCTCAAAGTGGGGTTCAGATCATTTTATTAACCCCCCACCACATGGTTTTAGACTGCTTTTATTTGTTGCATCTCAACTACAGCAGTGCAATAATACAAAGTGCAGAAAACAATTATTTTAGTGGATTTCTGCTGAAGAATGGACTTGGTGTTGTTCTGCTGAAGCTGAGTCCTGCTCAACATGTCTGTCTAGAGCTGGATCAAGCAGAAACCAGCTTGCACAGAATAAATATGCATTTCACAAGAGTTGAATGAAGAAACCAGATGGAATTTGAAGGAACATCTCAATCAAAATGACAATTATGAGTTTCTTTTCTCTCAGACAGAATTCAGAAACATTTACAGAATGAATCTGTGTTCCTGCAACAACAACACCATGCCCGAGCAAATTTTCACTTCTGTCAACCTCCTAATAACCTGCTGCTGCGTTTGTTGTCTATGCAGGGGGAATATTAAAATCTCTATGCAAGTCTTTTGTTTCTGCAACTCATCAGAATAACTGATGAGCTTTTTCTTAGAGCTGTGTCCACTCACAGTATGCTGTGAACTTTGGCTTCTCTCGCCTTCCTGGTTATTATTTGAGTTTTTGTCCTTCAGCTTTCCTTCCTGCTCAGTTTCTTCCATTTTTTGTCAGATATTTTGGTTCAGTTTGTCAGCATGTGCACTAAACTCTGATATTTAACTACATGTTCTTTATTAATTTAACTAAATGTCAAAATTCTTCACTTGTTTTTCCTCGGATGCCTTTTTGCAAACAAATTCATGCCATTTCTTTATTTTTCCTGAAGGGAGTCGTTTAAGTTATTTAATGTAGGCGTTAATCCAAATATGGCTTGTGTAATTATAGTCAGGGCAGTACATTATATACCCAGTGGGACTGTTTACTTTATAATGTTTGGATAATTTAATAAATGACAACTTTGTTGAAATTTGCTTTGTTTATTACTGGATCTGCCGTTTCCCCTTATATCAGAAAAATAAAGACACAAGAGCAGAAAATATATAACAGTTTATTTTAAAGGTTTGCTTCTGTCATGTACGTTTCAAAGGTGCTAATGCTTTCCTTGTGATTATACAGGTAGATTAATAAGCAGGTGGTTCGATAAATGTCTATAAAGTATATAGGTTCTACTTTCATTCATCAAAATATAATTTTATTTATACCTGTGGGATGCGTTGATAAACTAGGAACAAATTTCTTTTATACAATTTAAGGAGTCGGAATAAAATACACACAGATTAATAACCGTCATGATCCCCGACCTTTGAAGGAGCTTTAAACCGTTAAATTATTTATTTTACAACGAAGAAACCAGCATTAAGTTGCTCCGTAAAGCACAAAGGCTTTAGATGTATGAGCACCTGAAAGTGCACAAAATCAAGTGAGAGGTTAGGAAACAAAGTCATAAAAATTAACAAAATAAATTCAACTTCAGCAAAAGTCAAAAATCAGATTTTTGCTCCATTGCAAGTTTCTTATTTAATTCCTGCTTTTCAGTTGAAACTCTTAATATCTCATAAGACTTTAATTATATAGAGTTCTTACTGTATTTTTTAATAATTGTTCGATTTGAATAAATATAACGGGAAAAAATTATGAGCTGAGCTACAAAATAGTTCTGATATCTATGAAACAATTTTACCACATTTATTACATTCTCTATTTTTCATTATCCTGAATCCATGTAGAATTTTGAGTTTTTAAAGTGTGTTGTTAATAATTTGTTCTGTATAAACATTTTTAATATTTTATAATTATAGAAACGATAAACAAAAAATAAACGTTTCGCCTATAAGTAAAACAGTCACAATGTTTCCAAATATTATTAAAAAAATAAAATTGATTATGCACACTTAAGGGTATCTGGAAAGGTAGGGGTCACAGCAGCATTTATCTGTGTTTATACAAAGTGCAATTCCAAAATTTCTACAGACTAATCACAACGAGTCAGTTGTAGCAGGTCAGCTCTAACATCCTGCCTCACCTGATCTCATCTATGCAAGAAACTACGATATGTGTTCAATACGTACTGAATAAATAACACCACGGCTGCAGGTATGTTGTAGAAATAGTGCAAGGAAACCTCATCTTATACTTAATTTTATGTTAGCGATAGCAAAAGAAAGCACTTACATGCATACAAATAAAGACTCAAAAGGACAAAATGACTAACATGCTGTCAGCCTCACTTCCTCAGGAGCATGCGTTACAAGCTACGTCATTTCACCTGAGAAGGTTGTTAGATCTAAATAAGTAATATAGTCATTTCCCTGCATCATTTATAATGATCCAAAGTTGAGATTTAGTTCAGGTTTGATATTTTCTTTTGTTTTCTTTTATACAGAGTGACGAGGTGCAAAAAAGGCAAAGGCCTACAGGCAGATACAAAATCTAGAGCTGATAGGAAATCAGAAAATCCCCAGACATCATGTTTCCTACAGTTCTGTTGACACTTTCAGTGCAAAACATAAAAATACTTGAGTTAGCTCAACTTTCCTAATATTTGGAGAACGAGCACGTTAATGGTGGACACCAGGCTCAATAACATATTTTTGACTGATTCAAGTTCATTGTTGTAAATATTGTTTTAGAAGGATAATTGTTGACCCAAAAGAATCTAAAGGAGCTAATGATGTTCTAGTAACAAACAGTAAAATTCACCCCACTTTACATGTTCATGAGATGAGGAGTTCGAGAAAACCTGGACACAGATTATTTTTGGGGGTTGGAATTTGAAGGATCAGGCAGTGTGAAACACTGGACCAGCTCTATACCCTTAAGGGGATCCTGGAGGGTGCATGGGAGTGTTTTGTATTTTGTGGATCTGGAGAACGTGTTGGACCGGGTCCCTCTGGGGGGGCCTGTGGGGGTACTTCGGGCATATGTGGGACCAGGCCCTCTGATACGGGCTTTTAGGTCCCTGTATGACCGGTGTCAGAGCTTGGTACACATTAACAGCAGTAAGTCGGGCTCGTTTCTGGTGAGAGATGGCTGCCCTTGGTGACAGATTCTGTTCATAACTTTTACCGACAGAATTTCTAGGTGCAGCCAAGGTGTTGAAGGGATCTGATTTGGTGGCCTGAGGATCAGGTCTCTGCTTTTTGCAGATGATATGGTCCTGCTGGCTTCATCAGAACGTGATCTCCAGCTTTCTCTGGAGCGGTTCACAGCCGAGTGTGAAGCAGCTGGGATGAGAATCAGCTCCTCTATATCCAAGACCATGGTCTTGAGTCGAAAAAGGGTAGAATGCCTTCAGGGATGAGGTCCTGTCTTAAGTGGAGGAGTTTTAAGTATTGGGGTCTTGCTCACGAGTGAGGGAAAGCTGGAGAGTGAGATTCAGAGGCGGATTGGTGCTGCATCTGCAGTGATGCGGGCGTTGTACTCGTCTGGAGCTCTCGTATTACCAGTCGATGGAGGGACTATGTCTCACCTGGCCAGGGAACACCTTAGGATTCCCCCGGAGGAGCTGGCCCAAGTGGCTGGGGAGAGGGAAGCCATGGGCTTCTCTGCTTAAGTTGCTGTCCTTGCAACCCGACCCCGGATAACCACATGAAAATGGATGGATGGATGGATGGATGGATGAAAGGTAGTTTGGAGTACATAGTCAGCATTAAATCTGCAGTAGAATGCGATCAGAGAAATATCACTTTGGAGAATCAGGCAGAAGTTTGCACTATCAGAAATCAGAATCATCCTTTTAAACCAACTTCAAACCTTCTCAGCAGTTTTACCAAATGTTCAGATTTTTGCACTTCTCTTTTGCACGAGACAGTTTCAATCGTCACTATTTTTTGCATCTGTTCATTTGTGTTGTTCTACTAATTGCATGAAGACAATTTACAGAGTAATTAATTTAGCCCATCAAGTTTGTTTAATTTCCAGCCATTTACATTTTATAACATACGACTCATGCAAATATCCTCTGATTTCTGCAGAAAAAGGCACTTTGTTCATGTTTCCACTTGTGCAATTAATTTGCTCAAATAAGTAGTATGTAGTTGTTATTTTGGGATGAAATAAAAAAAATGTTTGGTTTAAAAAATAGTTACATTAAAGAACTGTCTTGTGCAAAATCATCAAGGTGTGAACTAGTTTACCATCTATTCAGTTCATCAGTGTGGTAATATGTCATGAACACCATGCAACCCCACTCAAACACTGAATTAAAATCTCTGATTGCTGCCTTCTGCAGGTAAAACACTACCTGTTCACCATTTACTGCACATGCGCTTTATTTCTGCTCCTGCCTCTTTAAGTCCTCCCTAGTAAGAGCAAATCTAAATGAACCCTAACATTCCACATGGCCAAAGCTTCTTATTCATAGGAACGTCTTCAGCTGAAGGAGTAAAAAACAGGTTGTAACTCTATATGACATTGTTCTTGCACCAGAAGTGACTTGTCTCCATATTCACTATAAAAACTGCAGTTTCAATTCAAAACAAGTCATTTCAGACAAAGAAGACCCAACAACCTACACTTTAAAGGGGCGTTGATCTACGTGGAACCTGGAAACTCCCAAACTAAGGCCATTCCATCAGCGTGACTGAAAATTATTTACAAATTTGGAAAATGTTTAAATGCTATTCTGTTCCAATCCCATGCTCCAGTAAATGCACATCACTCTCAGCTCGCAGCATAATCTTACTTTTAGTGTTGTTTAGATTTTTGGGACAATAGCTACAGTGGTGGAGTTTCCTTCTTCTCCAGGGGCAGAGTTAGCATCCATGAGAACGTTTCCAGCGCGAGCAAAGGTGTACAGCTGTGACTTTTAAGTCTCCACCTACAGCCAAAGACATTTCTATGGCCGAGAATTACAAAAATTCAAAAGCTGGATGGCGTTCGTTTCCCCCACCAGTCCCTTGATAAAACCTTCCTTCTGACAGAGTGTGACATCCCAGCTGTGCTGCTTGGAAGATGAATGGTTCTGGTGCTGGTCTCTGGTCGTCCCCGATAGTATTCTTTTAAAACACAGAATCAACACTTCCCTTTGGTCTGCCGAGGCAGACGGGGACCAACCGACAATTCAGAGCAGCAACATGAAAGATGACCTTTTTGCATAGGAGCCGACAACAATAAGACACTTTCTGCAGCACACCCAGACTGTGGACACGCTTGATAAACACTAGAGAGTGCAGAGCTGAGCGCTACAGCAGATAATCTATCATTGACTCTGTTGCGTGGCAAGTGGCATAATGTTCAGTTTACAAAATGACTTTCAGACTAGAACTCAAAGGAAGCTGTCAGCGCAACTTGCAAGGCGTGTTTGTACAAAACGCTTCTGAGGAGTTGCAGAAAATTAATCTTGAGAAGATTTTTATTATATTTTAGTTATTTTTAAATGGATGCATATTAATGTAGCAAAACAAATAAGGTGCAACACTCTGAGCAGCGTATGTAAATATTTAAATCATGCATGATGGCTAAGAAGGAGTGATTTAATTACAAGTATGAGTTTTGCAGCTTCTGCAGCTTGGATATAGATGAGTGCATTCGGAAATTCATCAAGCTGCAGTCTCAAGTCTTGAAAATACAAATATTTCCATGGGACATAATGAGTTGTAATAAAGCAAATATCCTCTGCAGAAATGAAAATAAGAATATGACGTGTGTATGAGCTTTTGTGGCCTCTGAAGAAAACATGCAATAACTGAAGCTGATGAGAAATTTAAAAATGATTACAGATCACTTGATCTCATCGGAATTGGATGCATTTCTCCAGCCAATCAGCTTAAAGGGAACGACAAGACTGCAGGAGCTGAGACAAAAACTGATAAGTAAAGAAAAAACGAAAAGTTGTTGTCTTTTAGTAAATAAATGTAAGTGGATGCATGCGTCTGAGTAAGGCTTGGGTAAGGGTTGCACATTCCACTTGGACTCAGGAAATTAACTGAAGCTAAGTGCAAAGGGAGAATCTTCTACAAGCGTGTAGGATTTAGACAAATATCCACCTTTGAAATTGCTTATTTATGCAGTTAAATAACTCTCCACTGACAGAGCAGAAGCCAGGAAGACAGTCTGGAGCTCCTGCTTATGTGAGGCAGGCTGCCTGTAACATTTGCTCTCTGAACAATCCTGAGTCAACAGTTTTCCTCTCGAAGCCTTGTCTTTTAGCTGCAAATGGCTTGGCGTGGGGTGTGGGGGTGGGGGTGGGGGGGTCCTCTGTGGGAGTCTTAAAAGTGGCTGTCACTCCTGCCCCCCTCAGTTCCACTGGATGAGTCAGTTTTTAATTGATGCGTTCTCTAAGGCATTGCTCGTACAATCTTTGCCCGTCCTTGTGCTCTTTAGGGAAATCACAAATTGCAGCGCAAATTCCATCACAAAGCAGTTCGTCCAAACCCTTTGGAAGAACCAGCCTCAGAACCTCTCCGAAGAATCAGGGCACAAAAATAAAAAATAATAAAAGCAATCACGGGGTTTGACCATCATTCTAGTGTGCAAACTAAACGCACCTTCCTCTTAGGCTAACTCAGAAATGTGCGCTTTGGGTTTTTGGCTTCTGGTTAGAGAGCAGAGAAGGAATGATGAGGGAGATTCATCACTTCTTGTTTTTACCCTCAAAAGTCTAAGTTAAAAGCCCGCATGAGGAGATCCAGGTCACCGATGTTTGCTGCCTGGAAGAGTTCAGGCTGGTCCATCATGGACAACGCTATCCTCAGAGCTGCCCAGATGTTTCCAGACATCACCTCGTGAGACTGCTGTCGACTTCGGCTTTTTCTCTGTAGACTTAAAGCAGTCAGAAAGTTGCTGGCTGCTTCTCTGGGGACACAAAAGCAACAAATCAATTTTTATCAAAGGACAAATGAGTGAGTGAACAGATTTCTATGGAAGAAAAACAGTCTCACTACAATGTGACTTACGGATGGATGGATAGATGGAATTTTTATTCTGTGAAATTAATTTAACAAAGTGCACCAACAAAAATTTCAATGTCAAAATTCAACAGCAGAAATTCAACAACAAACGAGATGACCTCTCCTGACCAAAACCAAAGCAATCGTCACTCAATGGAGTCAGCGACTCACTGGTGTCACAGGATCAGAGAAGCGTGATTTGATTGGTTAAGAGTCACTTGAGTCGCTTGATTGATGATTACTTTGGCTTGGGTCACCAGGAAGTCACCTCAGTTGTTGTTGAATTTTTGCTTTTGAAACTTTTGCTGGTGTATGTTAAGTGAAAAAACAAACAAACCAACCAAATACATAATTTCACAATATAAAAGTTCAATGTCATGAATTCAATGTCTAAAAAAGTCATATTCTGGTGACTGGTGAGACTGTATTTGTTCCATAGACTATTTTTTGTGATAATTAGCATCTGAACTTCCAGTTGATCGCAGCAACGATGGCAGTTTAACAACTTGTGGATTTTAGGGTTGCAAGTTTCACCATGAGCTCTGATTCGTCTTTAGATTATGGTGCAAAAGTTCATTTATTTCAGTAATCCAACTTAGACTGAGAAACCACTTAAAGGCTCAGGAACCCTTTGCATGTTCATCCATCCATTTTGAGCTGCTTATCCGGGGTCGGGTTGACGGGGCAGCAGCCTAAGCAGAGAGGCCCAGACCTCCTTCTCCTCAGCCACTTGGGTCAGCTCCTCTGGGGGAATCCTAAGGGAGAGACAAAGTCCCTCCAGTGTGTCCTGGGCCTTCCTTTAGGTCTTCTCCTGGTTGGACGTGCCTGGAAAACATCGCCAGGGAGATGTCCAGGAGGCATCCTAACCAGATGCCCAAGCCACCTCAACTGACTCCTCTTGATGTGGAGGAACAGCTGGTCTACTCTAGCCCCTCTCGGATGACCAAGCTTTTCACCCTATCTCTAAGAGGGAGCCCAGCCAGCTTGTGGAGAAAACTCATTTCGGCTGCTTGCATCAGTTATCTCATTTTTTTGGTCATTACCCAAAGCTCGTAACCATTGATGAGATTGAAATGTAGATCAACTGATAAATCGAGAGCATCGCCTTCGGCTCAGCTCTCTCCTCACCACGACAGGCCGGAACAACACCTGCATCACTCCAGACACAGCACCAATCCGCCTATCGATCTTTAGCTCCATCTTTCCCTCACTCGTAAACAAGACCCCAATATACTTAAACTCCTCCTCCGGCCAGGCTCCATTGGCTACCAGGTACTCGCCAATGTACCTCACATCCAGGTCTGGCTCCAGCGGGGGGGGGGGGGGGGGGGGGGGGGGGGGGCCTTGGTGACCTGCATCCAGGCAAGGGAACACTGTTTCTTCATAATGGGTCTTTGGGTTGCACCTTGGATCCCTCACCTGTTTCTTCCAGAACCTGTTTGCCATGGGTGACCCTATCAGAGGCATAAAGCCTCTGACAACTTAGCTTGTAGGATCATTGGGGCACTCAAACCCCTCCACCATAGTAAGATGGCAACCTTTTTAGGTGTTTGGATTCATTCCCACTGTGCAAAGACTCAGAGTGGACGTCCTACAGACGTGGTCTGGACTGAAAGACTCAAGATAGACATGATCTGCATGTCTATGCAATGTTGACTGTTTGCAAGGTTATCTGATTAGAGTGGGACACTCTGGGTCTAGAATATTGAACCTTTTCACATTATTCTAAATGTCTGAGATTTTGAATGTGGGGTTTTCATCAGCTGTAAGCCATCACAATTGTAACAAATAAAGGCTTGAAACATCTGGCTTTGCATATAAGGAGTCTGTCTCATTAAATTACTTTCACCTTTTAAGTTGAATTACTGAAAACATTTACTTTTGCACCATATTCTAGTCTTTTGAGTTTTACCTGTGTGTAACCAAAGGAAAATATTCAATTCTTAGTTTTGTCCCACATTTTAAGTGTTTCTTCCTCATGTACACACAAACTATGAATAGAATTTTAATTAGTTTTATTTTGAAATTGTTGATCTATAACCTAAGACTAAACACAATTTTATTACAGAACCAAAAAAGTAAAATGCTATGAATGGTTCAATAAATATGGCAACATGCAAAAATTGTTCTTTTCCTTTTTCTTTCCTTTTCCACCTAAAAGTTATTTCCATTGGGTTATTGGTGTTTTAGAAAACATTTTTTTACAGTTTCACATAATTTTCCTGTGCATTTTGTGACTTTTGATTTCCATTTTATTTTATAAAATATAAACATTCCAATTCTTATTTAATGTTCCTGTCACAACATTTTTATTATGTTAAACGCATTCCATTCTCATTATGCAAATGAAGACGCCAGTTTTTTTTCAGGTTGTTGCATTCGATTAATGCAAAACATCACAGACAACATTAGCAGTGCTAGATGGAGCTAAAAGAGTCTGAAATAACTCTGCATTTTTAAAGTAAAATGGTTATGGTTAAATAACAAAGGGCAGAATACCCCCAGTAAGGCTAAACGTGTTTGAATCAGTTAATACTTGTATTATTCTAATTTTAGACATATTTTTTTCTATTATTTCTCTTTTGCATTTTCTCCTCCTTTGTTATTGTTTGTCTTTTTACATGTATGCATTCACACAGGATAGAAAAAAAAACCCATTCCAAAAAGCTTCATTCAACTTAAGCACAGCATATTTGAATCCCTTGGGAAAATTAGGAATTTCATAAACTTTTAATTTGAATTGGTTCACTCTGCTCACCACTAACATTGAGCTTTTCTATTTTTTATGTCCTGAAAATTAAAATCATTAAATAAAAGCAAATAAATCATTTTGATTTTGCTCAGGTCTAAAAATGAGAAACATGCAAATCAAGCCAGGACTGTCCTTGTATTGCTGCAGGTCACTCACCTGTGTGCCCCCAGGTTAATGCAGCTGATGCCCAGGTTGTAGCGCGACCGGATAAACCCTGGATGCAGCTCCAGGGCCCTCGTGTAAGCCTCCACCGCCTCTTCACTCCGGTCCCCATTAGCCAGCGTGGCTCCCAGTCGATTCCACAACAAGTAGTCCTGGATGGAGGAGGAGTAAAGCCTTGGGTTAACTAGTTCAGTGTCGAGTGGATGTCTTTCAGTGAATCTACTTTAAAAATTAGATGTTAAAAAAATGTAACAGATCATTTAAAAGGCTTTCCATTTTTAAACGGCTCAGAGATCAGCTGTGTGTCCGGACCGATCGATGGATCAGAAAGAGTAAATCTTACTTTTTAAAAGTCAAAATACAAACAGTTTCAGGCCCTCTGCAGCTTTCAGATACAAAACAGTTCAAAGATAAGAAGAATTACATAATTCAATATATGAATAAGTAAACACATTTGAATCTGGATCAATGGCAAGAACACAACATGGTGATATAATAGGAGTTACATCACACTGGTTATCCTTGTTGTTCCCCACCTGCGGGCAGACGGGCACAAACATAGGTCAGTGGCTTCTGCAGTCCTTCATCCGTGGTTTAGCCCAGCAGCAGGATATAATTATCCCCCTTTTGTTTTCAGAACAGTTTTTATTCCAGTAGGGGAGCAGATATTATCAAGTCAAATGGGGGATTAGATTTAACATTGAGTCGTATTCACATCATCCTGGGACAGCAAAGGGAGGACGTTCACTGATTCACAAGAGGGCGATGGAATAAAAAGTTTGCTGCTGCGAACATCTTGTCTTATTTTTATGTATTGTTATATGTTTGTGTCATCATTCACGTACACTATACTTTACTGTTGTTGTTCACAGGTCCAAAGTAAATTTAACCCTGAATTGGATAACTTCTCTAAACTGGTGAAGATCTAATAGATTTGGACCAAATAGTCAAGCCCTCATATAATGTTTGGACAATAATTTAGATTTTCCTGAGCCACACAAAGAAAATTCATATTTGTAGCTTCAGTTTTCATTTCAACACTTATCCAAAATGTGGTTTTTTACTGCCTCTTTAAACAATCCACATAAAAAGCCAACTTGTCAATTGATTTTTGGGTTATAACTGTTTTTAGGAATAATGCACCTAAAACAAGTTATTTCAAAAAGTCCCCATTTGTGATGCCACAAAATAAAAAATTCGGATAGAACAACCTCACACTTGCAAGAGAGGGCTGCTGTTGGAGGAACAGCCACTCTACTCCAGGCCCCTCCCGGATATCGGATCTTCTCAGCTTATAGCAGCTTGAGTGGGGGATGGGTGGGCGTGGCCAGCTCTAGCTTGTTTTCTTAAAGTGACAGAGGCCTGAATAATTCAGGAAGGTACTGATACTGTCAAGAATAAAACTGCTGATTTCCCTTTATGTGAGAGATTTTACACAAAGAACATGTTTTTTTGACCATAGAACTATATTAACTTAAGAAAAAAATCATAACATGTGAGTTGTATTGATCAAGGACATCATTCAAGTTTGTCACTGTCTAATCTGTGTGCGTGTGTGTGTGTGTGTGTGTGTGTGTGTGTGTGTGTGTGTGTGTGTGTGTGTGTGTGTGTGTGTGTGTGTGTGTGTGTGAAGTCTCTTACCTCAGGCCGCACTGACAGGGCAGTATTGAAGGCCTCTACAGCTTTGTTGAACTCCCCGCTGAGGTTGTAGAGAACCCCGAGGCCTGTCTGCAAATCCGGGTCAATGCTGTCCGAGTTGTGCTGAACCGCTTCCAGGAAGATCTCCTTGACCTCTGGCAGCAGTGAGCTGTAAACACACACACACACACACACACACACACACACACACACACACACACACACACACACACACACACACACACACACACACACACACACACACACACACACACACACACACACACACACACACACACAGAGAGATTATTGTGACTTAAGGCTGCAGCGTGTGCCATGTAAACTTTCATCCCTACAAAGTAAAAAGGAGTGAAGGATGTGAGATTGAAAGGAAACTGAGCGGTCTTCTGGCCTCATTGTTTTGGTAAAGATAAGAGCTGCAATTTCTGAAGTTTGTTGTGTTCTTAGATGTAGTTCCTGTATCTGACCGAAAGGTGGCACTGTGGTGTGAGCGAAGTGAAGAGGAGAGGAGTAGAATAATGGGCTCGACACACGGTAGGCGACATCGCCTCTCCTCCATTCATTTTCAATGAGATATGCGCGACAAAGCGATAATCGCGGGTCTCCCTCCTACCAAGCGAAACGCGAAAAACGTGCGCGTGAAATTTTGCACTTGTGCACGTGTCGTACACAGGCGACCCAGCGAGGCGATCCCAGAAAGTTGAAACATTTTCAACTTTTCATCGCTGTCGCTCGGACGAGGACCAATCAACGGAGGTTTCATTCACTGACCAATGAGTGAACAGGATGCTCCGTACACCTCCGAGCAAACATGAAGGAGAAGTTGATAATTATTATGTTTTATATAGTAAAATCAGAAGTAAGATTTCACATAACTCTAGCAGCACCTTGTGAAACATCATATCTACCACTTTTTTTAAACTCTGAACCGCTTAAATAACCTTAATTCCCTCCAGCCTGACACAGCCAAACAAAACAACGGAAGTTTCAATTTCGCCATGGAACAGAACGCGTAGACGGTTTTCCGGTGGCCGCTGCCGCGGGTTGCCTCCTGTGTGTCAGGTAATAAAAGCGACAGCGACAAATTTCGCTGATCGCGGTCGTTTGTCGCCTCCCGTGTGTCGAGCCCATAAATGATGATGGCGTTCTGAGACTCGAGTCTACGCTGCCTGTTTTTCCTATTTCTGCATGAACTAGCTGGAATGTAACAAATTGGCAACGAGGATGGCGACAGCAGGGGTGCCGCTTCCTGCTCTGTTTCTGCCCTGACGGGACAACCAGGAATTCCGTTCGACATGTGGATGAAAATGTTCGAGAACTACCTGCTTGCTATCCATGCAGAGGGGGATGACTGGCCTGACGCGCGTAAGCGCGCGCTTCTTCTACACAGCTTGGGCACAGAAGGGCAGAGAATATTCTACTCATTTGCAGAGGCAGGTACTACTTATGATGCAGCTGTGCAAGCTCTGCGGGCACACTTTAATCCAGCTATAAATGTTGTGGTGGAAAGACACAAATTCAGACAACGGGCGCAGAAGCCACATGAAAACATAATGGAATGTGTGGGTGTGCTGCGAGAGCTAGCAGCAACATGCGGATTTGCTGCAAATACAGAGGAAATGATACTTGACCAGCTGATTGAGCATGCAAGTTGTCCTAGAGTCCACGAGAGGCTTTTGGCCCAGACAGATGCTAACCCTACCCTCAACACAGTACTGAAATTAGCATGTCAAGTGGAGGCGGCCATTGGGCACGCGCAGACTCTTTCAGCAACGACAGAAGCCGCAGCTGTACAGGAAGTGAAAGTGAAACCAAAACGTCCATTCAAGGCAAGAAATAAAAATGCTTGCTCAGAGGAATACAAAACCACTAGAAAACAAGAGAGAGCTTGTTACAAATGTGGTGCTGCTACACACCTTGCTGATGCACCAGAATGTCCTGCGCTAAAGGTGACATGCAGAAATTGCAACAAAAAAGGACATTTTTCTCATGTATGTGAAGCCAAGAAAAACACAGCTGATGTGGGAGAGATGGTTGTACTGGAGTTAAATACAGTGCAGATGATTCATAATGGACAAGATGTGGACAAAATCTGTTGTGATCAAGGGCGTCAGTTTGTTTTCAGAATTGCTGGGGACAATAACCATACACTTGAGTGGGGTTTAAAATTTGCTGGGGACAATAAAGGCAGGCTTTTTTGAAAGTTGGGGGGACACAGCTGCCAATCACAAATTTTGCCGGGGACATGTCCCCGGCGTCCCCGGTTAAAATGACGCCTATGGTTGTGATGTGTCCCTGACTGCACAATCAACAACATGTCAAGTGGAACTTGTGGTAGATACAGGTTCTGCAGTGTCCATCATTCCTGAGCGGCTGTATGAAAACTACTTCCAGCATGTGCCACTGAGTGAACCTCCAAAAAGGTTAGTGACTTATACCAAAGATCACGTTCCAGTTTTGGGCAGTTTGACTGCTCTAGTCCAACATGGCTCAGTTGCAGCTCAAGCCGAGCTGTATGTAGTTAAAACTGGCACAGCGCTTTTGGGCATGGACTTATTCAGAGCACTGAGACTGACTATTGATAAAGATGCAGTGAGCATTCCAGAAACACCAGGCACAGTTGAGGTAATCAGAGCTAAACCTGCAGCTGAAGATAAAATAGGACTGGCCAAAGGGTTCATTCACCGCCTTAAAGTGAAAGAGGGGGTCACACCAGTTCAGCAAAAACTACGCCGGCTTCCTCTGTCCGTTAAACAAGCTGTTTCTGCAGAGATCGACAGACTTTTGAACCTGGATGTTATAGAGAGGATGGAAGCATCCCAATGGGTGTCCCCTATTGTTGTCACACAGAACAAAAATGGAACAGTGAGGATGTGTGTGGACTTACGTGAACCAAATAAGGCTATAGTGATGGATAGTTACCCACTTCCTCATATGGACGACCTATTCGCTGAAATGAGAGGTGCAAGAGTGTTTTCCACGATAGATTTGGCCAACACATATCATCAAGTACTACTTGCAGAGGTGAGCCGGGACATGACCGCTTTCATAACACACAAGGGACTGTTCAGGTTTAAGGGGGTTCCATATGGTCTATGTTCAGCGCCAGCCGCATTCTCCAGAATGATGTCCATTGTACTCAAAGGTCTCAGAGGTGTTCAGAACTATCTGGATGACATTATTGTTCATGGTGCAGACAGAAAGGACCATGACTGCAACTTACAAGCTGTTCTTGCTGCTCTCAAGGAAGCAGGACTGCAACTTAATGTGGAAAAGTGTCAGTTTAACC